TTAGAGAGAGTGTGTGTGTGAGAGACAGCGAGAGAGAGAATGTGTCGAGTCCTAAGGTCATGTGACACATCACTGTCCACTTTTTATCCTCCTGCTCGTCGCTTCCGCCATCTCCAACAGCTGAAACTACCGCACTTCCGGAGGTCACGCTGACACTCTGACACTTCCGGAGGTCACGCTGACACTCTGACACTTCCGGAGGTCACGCTGACACTCTGACACTTCCGGAGGTCACGCTGACACTCTGACACTTCCGGAGGTCACGCTGACACTCTGACACTTCCGAAGGTCACTCTGACAGTCTGACACTTCCGGAGGTCACGCTGACAGTCTGACACTTCCGAAGGTCACGCTGACAGTCTGACACTTCCGGAGGTCACGCTGACACTCTGACACTTCCGGAGGTCACACTGTCAGCCTAAGGTCACACTTAATGAGGTCGCACTAACGGCTGTTATGCTATGTTGGAATTCTAGACTAAAAATAAGTCACCTTACCACAATAGTTACAGCTGAAGAATCTAGTGAACACACTTTGATACTCTGATCCATACAAATAATAATAATATATTACTCAATACGGAGTACAGAAACAAACATATAAATACTCTTACGTAAATATATGCACCTTAGGAACATACGCAGATGTTCAACTACACCAAATTAGCATCATGCACATATGTATATACAACAGACTCAAGTAGGCTCAGGATTCTGTACACCAGTTGATTGACAGTTGAGAGACGGGACCAAAGAGCCAAAGCTCAACCCCCGCAAGCACAACTAGGTGAGTACACTCACACGCAAAAGGGAGAGGGGGGGGGGGAGTTAATGACAGTAGCAGCCCCCGGTCGACGAAACTAGCAGTTACACTCACTCAACACATCATGAAACATAATACTAATGCAGCACCATACCGTACAATAAACTTTAATACACTTGTATATAATGATATTTCAAATACTGCATAATGGATTACATTGTAATAGAGGTATCTATGACTCTTGAAGGTATGACCTCAGCATATCCAGTCTGTACTGGTTAGGCTGGGTCATAACATGAACTAACTCCCGACTTAGTTGTTGTTATAGATTCAGCTACTCGGAACAAGTTCCAAGTAGCACGGGCTATGGTGAGCCCGTAGTGAACTTACCTGGCACAGGAGCGGTGCCCTGGGTCCCCGACTTAATTTTCTCTAGATATATATTTCTCTCTAACATCCACACATCCCCAGTATGCAGACCGTAGCAGCTGTCTATAGCTCCCATGTACGTACCTATTCATTACTAGGTGAACAGATGCATCAGGTGAAAGTAACAAACCATTTTTTGTGTATGAGGTGCGATTTTTGTTTTACACTTTCATGCGTACCCAGAAGCGTCAGTGGGGCGAGGGGTCAGTAGGCCGTGGCGCATTCCCCAACTCCCGCTGACAGACTTCCTACTATATGAACAATTACAACTACGCTTCATTGTGGCTCTCTCGTCGTAGCGATGTTTACATTTTTATAGTATACAAGGATGGGTTTCGATGAAATGTAGTGATTCTTCTCAAATCCTGTTCTCCGGTGTTTAACCTGGGATTTATTAATCGAAGCGTTAGTAACAAGACACCTGGTGTTGTTGTTCAGCTATATCTTGCTCTGGTTAGGCCCACCATTTGGATTATGCAGTTCAGTATGGGCCAATAGGTCTTCTGCAGTTACCTTCGTTCTTATGTTTTAATCTTCCTCGAGGTTCCGCGAACCTTCATTTGGGGTTCTGCGAACCTTCCTTAGGGGGTTCCGCGAACTTTCCTTTGGGGCTCCACAAACGTTTTTGGTGTTTTTCGCGCACCTTAGGGGTTCCGCGAGAAATAAATAACAAAAAGAAAATGACAAAAATAAATATTTTTTACAAATCAAATTAATATAATTGTAATAAAAATAGTTGTGAAGAGATTTCTCAGGATATTACAGAAATACTTTAGGGGTTCCACCATGGTATAAAGTGGTTGGAAATCAATGCCTTAGACCACCGACTGCCCTCATCCAGAATGCAATCTATAAGCAGTTTAATTGTCTAACACCCAGGTATTGGTAACTACTACCCAATGGGCACGATATCCAAGAGTAACGTCGATTTATTTTGATATCAACATAGTTTGACCAGCTTCTGCCCGAAACGCTATGCGTGTTAGTGGCTTTGCAAGAATGTAACAACACCAATGTTGTGTACTTTCTCAAACCTATTGTAAACCTATTATTTACTGTAAATAAATAAATAAAGCTTTGGGCCGGGGGTGACCAAACAGGTTTGAGCTGACTGGTTTTCAGCCACGTGATCTCTGGTCGATGTTTGAGAACATTATTGCGTAAGTCAAGTGGACTGAAGATGTGGTCATTGATGATTGGGTATCTGAAGGGAAAGATTATAACTTTTCGTCAGCACAATAAGATAGGACAGTTTAAGCATCGTGTTTTTTTAATATTTGTTGTCAAGAGGCTGTAGATTATACGCACAAGGTTGATGCAGATAACAGCCTGAAGACCGAGACTAGTGCAATGAGGAATGAGAAAAGACAAATTTTTTGTCTTTTCTCATTAAAGATTAGCAAGATCTTAGTGTGGATGTAAAAAAAAAGTAGGGTAGGTAAAGAAAGATGAGAGGAGGAACAAGGCCCAGAAAGATGAGGAAGGAGGTATAAGGTGTGTCTGTGGATGACGAGTTTCAGGTTTAGTATCATGAAGTCCCTCAGTGAAAACAGTTCGACCGTTTCTAAGTCACGAGAGCACCTGGGGGGTCTGCTCACAGCTGTCTCTGAACTTTGGGTATAGTTCCCATCACCATCCATGGTGATGGGAACCAGAAAAACCTCACGAACCGATTTATTTTAACCTGACAGCAGTTAGTAGAAAAAGACAAGAGATGCGGAACGGCAACAAACTCAAAAGAACGTGAAAAGTCGATGTAAGTGACTAATCTTTGGCTTGTTTCCTCTGAATGTCGCAAGTCTCCTCCCGAAACTGGAAAAAAAATTTCAGTTAAGGTTACACACTTTCAACCTTAAAGAACGAATACCACCCCCAAAACCGGAAACCAGTTAACAGTAGTAGTCGCAACTCACCTGTAACCAAACAACTAAGATGCACATTCCTTCCTCTTCGGCAAATACAATGTCAGTGTTAGTCCAGATATCCTAAGACATTCCTCATAGCAGGCCCGTGCATAGAAATCGTCGTCAAACACCTTGACAAGAAAGGTCACACCCAGTTACGTACTTACCAGTATCGAGGTCAGGGCCGTGGATGAAGATCTTGCAGGAATAAAGGAGCAGCTCCCTTGCTCAACATCTCGGTGCTACAACTGTAGTAGTAGTTCAATTCGCTCTTATTTACTATTGCTTAGTTTAATTAACAGTATTTCCAAATTCTATAATTCGCTGCTCGAAAAAATATATTTTGAAATTCAGAATTCACCGTCCATATCGAATATGGACGTGAAAACCTCAATTATGCATTCGTCTGTAAGGCCGCCATTTGTGAAAGATATTTTCTTTCTAGGCCTTGGATATTGGAAAGTAATTATCAAACACCAATGAATGTTAAAGTTAAACGAGGTTACTATTTGAATTAAAAGTTGTTTTCAGGGAAGTCCATTCAGTTTCAAGTTCGCGAGCACAAGAGCAGCGAGACTGGTACACCACACGAGTCGCAGGAGGTAAGTAAATGGACAACAGCCACGAGAGACAACCTGGATCTCAACGTCCATATTATTTTCCTCTTATTCTCATAATTCAGCATATGCAACACCATTTTAGTAATGTTTATCATCGTTATACTTCCATATTTTTTCCAACATTGAGATGCGCATATTACTTTATTAGGAATATACCCGCGGCTCAGCACTGGAACCATGACCGATTTCGCCTCTTTACGTTCCAGTAATTTTATTGAGACAATTTTGCGGAAACAAATTATACTTGTCTATCAAATTTGACATTAGATAAATTAATCAGTATCCAAAAATGATAACTGTACTTATGCTCTCATGACTACGTGTAACATCGACCAGATAGACATGACAAAAAAACACAGTCCATTCTTGATAGTGGGGTATTGTATTCTCTACGGGTCCGTCTAATTACCACAAGCTTCACAAAACTTCCTGGCAATACTTTAGTAATGAATAAATATATGTTAGGTTGACCTAACCTAACCCGACGCTTGGATAGTCGACTTTTTTTTTTTGAGATATACACAAGAGTTGTTACATTCTTGTACAGCCACTAGTACGCGTAGCGTTTCGGGCAAGTCCCTGAAATACGATCCCCTGCCGCGAAGAATCTACTTTATTTGGCGTCACCAGCTCTATTTTCTTTATAAAAAGACTTTCAGATTAAAATTGTTTTTTTCGCGTTGTACATTTAGCACCAACATTATAATGAGTAAATATATCATTTATTCATTACTAACGTATTGCCAGGAAGCTTTGTGAAGCTTTTGTAGCTTGTGGTAATTAGACGGACCGTTCTCTACATTTTATATTAAGAATTCTTACTACATGATAATTCCTGGTAAATTTGTCTAATATATTAGCAGCTATCTATCTATATATATTATATATATATACTGGAAACCGACCAAGCTTTCCTTATCACCTGTAAAAGTAATCCATTGCAAGAAAACTACACTAACACAAGAGTATGGTGAACTATTTCTTTCTTAGCACCGACCTTTGTTAATTCGAATATCAATTTACTATTCCCCATAAAGACCACTTACGTCCACAGTAACGTTTTAATAGGTCATGAGTTCTCAGTGCCTGTATAAACAAGCTCTTTCATGAACATTATGTTAACACGATATTTAATTTGACAGATGGGGACTAACTGAATTCTGAATCTTAACTGTAGACACTACAGTATATAATTTAAACATTTCATAATAGAAGTACAGGATTATATCTTGAGAGCTAAAGGGACATATAGAGTACTGTATTTAATAATGGTAAACAAACGATATTATTTTTTAATATATTTATTGTATCAATTATGTACATATGTACATATTCACAGCCAATCATGCACAAATAACATATTTGTGCAGTGATTGTACTTACAGCACCAGAAGTGACAATGATGAACAAAAGATGATCAAAAGACGGCCACGATGCTCCGAGAACATCCAATGCCTTGATCCATTATAGTACTCAATCTTCTCCTACGGGCACAGAAGTTCCATGTCTCCTATGGTCATCCAAGGCTCACGAACACTGGCTGTAGCTGTCCGCCATGTTGCACAACACCCTAGTTCGGTTGCAACACTAAAAACAGTCCTCTGGTATGCCTCAAAGAAGCAAATGTTTTATCAATGTCGCTAACTCACTTGGTTAATGTTCCCATCACATTTCACGGGTGCAAAATCCTAGCCATTAACACTTGAAAACTTCCGTACTTAATATAATAACGAACCTAAACAGAAATTACTATGTATGAATATCACTAGCACATTGCCCACTGAAGACAAATTCAGATACTGAAAGAAATCCACCAATGAACATGCAGTGCATATAAAAAGAAAATCCAAGATAAAGTAACAAGATACATATACAGTAGGTTGCATATAAACACATGAGAACCCAAAATGATTAAAACTTGAAACAATGTTACAGAACTTAAAAAAACAAAAACAAAAAAACTTGTAGCACTTTTAAAAAATAAAATATATAAAAAGTTCTATTGAATTGTACTGTAATTGCAAGACCTACATACAAACACTTAACCAATTTCAATGTTTTCACCCAAGAAATAGGAAAACACAAAAACAGTCCATTAAAACCATGTCCCGAGAAACCTCCAGCTCGAAAGTGACTGCATATTTTTAAAGTGATTGATTGTGAGAAGTGTCGGCCTAAGAGTAGTGTCGAGTGAGTGATAACTACGTCTTACCCAGCCTGGCCACCATCACCCTCACCCGTCAACCAGCCGGGCTCCACCTGCAATGGCCAAGTTACTGTCATCACAATCCACACCTGCTAATCTTACCATGCCACACAACTCCCATCTAACCTTATGAAATAAAGTAATTCACAAAAATATTAAAACAAAAATTATTAAAATTAGCAACAAGGTACACTCTAATTATTCATTCCCAGATTTAGAGGCTTTTAAAAGTACAGTACAAAGAACTAAAATTGATGGGAAGAAGTCTCAAACTTCAAAATAAACTTTTCATAACCAAAAACTTTACTCATACATTGAAATGACAATTTAACTTTGTTATATGCATCTTTTTAACAGCATTAAAATTTAAAAATGTACAAGGTTATTCTTAAACAATTTAAATAATGCTAAATGGCGAAGAGGAATAAAGATACACGAGGAACATTTCAGTGTAACGCTTAGCACTGGAACCAGATGATTATTCAGCATATTGAAGTTACATTAAATTTACTAAAAAATTTTCATTAAGCATATATACTTAATCTACTGGAGACTGAGGCAAATTCCATTAAATATAAGCTAAAGCTTTGGGGAAAAATCTATTCACAAGAACACTGAAGACTGGATTACAGCCAGCTTGTCAAAATTAAGCACATTTAAAACAGCTTTTATATAATAAACCCTATTATGTTATTTTGCTATTATCGAACTAGTAAAATAAAAAAATCTTTATTCGAGGCATTAATGACCAATATTGCAAAGCCACAAGGGCAACACCAACACTTACTGACCACACTTAATGTCTGGTCAGTGAAACTCATGTGTGGCTTTATAGTTAATAAATTAGACACCCTGAAATTCAAGTTAGAATTTATAATTATAACATTAACATGCATCTGGAGCAAAATTTAAAATGGAATTTAAATTTGTTTATACCAAGTATTTCAATAACATAAAAACTTCCGAGTGGCACTAACCTGTCACCGCTGATTAATAACTTCCTGGAAGAAAAGAATGAAAAGCCTAATGTTCATCTAATTTACCACAATAAATATATGCAAATATATACTGTAAGCATTATTAGCTCAAATTATGAGTAAACATAAAGCTCTTATAAGAAAAACAGACAGACATAACCCCCTCTGCAAATGGAGACAAGTGGCATAAAAACATTTCAGAATAGAAATGCAATATAGAGTACTTATATTTATGAATTGCTGATATTGTTATGTCCAGTGTTAGTAATAATTTTAAAGCGGCAGCAGCATGCCGGGAAGACTATGTAGCACCATCTGTCATGAGATATTCAAAAGGAGCTAATCATCATTCAAGATGCCGATACGAAAACAAGAGGATATATGGTGGATCAAAGGTATTGGATTCACCAAGGATTCTATCAAGAGACTAAAGTTAAAAAGGGCAGACCTTGAAAATCTAGACATTCTACAAGGAGTTGCAACTAAGTGGAACAATGCAGTGCGGATAATAAGGAGAAGGGCTGTGTTCTACGCGTCAAGTGCGTGTGGCTGATATGCAACCTAGCCAAGGCCATTTCCCACTGTCTGTTACGGTAGGAGGAGGTAGGCCAAGAAAATAACCTTTAATAGTGAGCCGTTTGACACCTGTAATGCCAAACCAAGTCGCAGACTGTAGATTGAATAACTAGGTAGAAACCTGAAAAGGTATCTCTTTACTAAAAATAGGAGAGAGAAGTGTGAATGGCCACCTTAGCAGCAGTTTGCATGTTCCTTTAAGTGACACCAATATCGACACAATTCGCAAAATTCTACCGTTAAAATTTAACAAGAAAGAGATGGTAGTGACATTTGACCAACAAAGTATGCATAGTTATCTGTCGCAAGTTGGAGCTGGTGTTACAGAAACATTTGACTGAAAGATCTGGGTCAAAGGATACACAGTTCCAGTTCAAGAGCAGCAGCAGTTTAAAGTTTAAGTTTTAGCTGGAGGGAGGAAGAGAAAGGAAGTGACCAAGACGAGTGCTAAACGCCTTGGCACAAAAGGGGCTTATACATGTGTAAATCCTCAGGGCAAGTATGGTTATTGACAAATGTCAATATTTAAGCCACTAGCAGGGCCAAACAGATAATGGTACAGTGCAGAGGTTGAGGGAATCATGCATAATTGACTGCCAGTATGGCAAAAATGATCCACCCATAAAGGAGGGGATGGTAAAATGTGCAATTTGTAAAGATTAAGGATGGGAACTTGGGTTCTGATCCTGCCAGGTAAATAGGAGGGGAACGGAAAGGATCAGGTAGGCGAATGAAAGACAAAGCCAGGTTTGGATTCAGTATAGCTAGGGCTATGTAACTTGATCTATCACCTTAGCACTCTGGGGGGGGGGGGGGGGGTCTAGTTCCCTTGCCACCCTAGCCTGTGTTTGAGATAGAGATAGAAAAAACTCCAGCAGTATGCAAGAATTATTACTAAACATTCCCATACATAAGAAATTATATACAAAACGAGTATAATGCTCGAACAGTACCGAATATAAACTACTACAACACACACACACATACATACACCTTGCTTAATAAAATACAGACACCTGGTTCTAGACTAATATATAAAAACATTCCTCTGCACCTTCAGGAGATTGTACTATATAACCGTCTATTAAATAAAGAATACTGGGCATCAGTTTATTGTATGTAATGATAAGTCGTGCTGTAAAATCTATCGTGAATGCCTTTTGCAACGTCTTTTACAACCAGAATGTTGGCCAAGATTGATCCTATAGGAAAATAAACTATTCTTGCCTCATGCAATCTACCAACACATTCATGCAACTGCAAAAACACCAGCAATTCATAAATATTAAAAAATACCGACAGACCTGATAAACTGACCTTTATCACTACGTGTCATGAAAGCTTAAGTGAACTCGTCTTCATTTGAAGGTTAACAGAGCTTTATATTTTCATTTTGGCATAGAAGTTTTAGTGTGGGTGAAAGGCACTTTGTAAATTAAATGGCAATATGGTACACAAAAATATAAATATTCAAATATATAAAACACATGAATATATATAGTAGTATATTTTGGATGCAGTCTCTCCTGTAGGCATATATTATTGAATGTTTCCAAAAAGGCAAGATCAATGACTTGGGCTAGAATCTTTTCTTATTTTATTTACATTTTTCTTCACTTGAGAAGGAAGTTACTCTCTTTGATATTGTCAAAGGCATGGTTAGAATGATTACAAAGTGTCTTGCTGAATAATATGCACCCGAGGATGAGGTGAAGTACCTCACTTATAGGTCCATTGTATCTTGTCGCTCTCCTGTTTGCAAGATGGCTGATGCCGTGTGCTCTATATTCTATAGTGTTCTAGAAGTTGGCAGTGTGTAATTTGGTGCAAACTTCTAGAACACTATAGAATATAGAGCACACGGCATCAGCCATCTTGCAAACAGGAGAGCGACAAGATACAATGGACCTATAAGTGAGGTACTTCACCTCATCCTCAGGTGCATATTATTCAGCAAGACACTTTGTAATCATTCTAACTCTGCCTTTGACAATATCAAAGAGAGTAATGAAATAAATACAACTCTTAGCATCATGACAAATAAAACTGTAAAAATGAACTTAGGCAAGTTAATTTTTTTAACTTCCTTCTCAAGTGAAGAAAATGTAATGCAGAGATATCAATATCTCTAAAATATAATAATAATAATAATTAAATAAATAAAAAATATATATATGTACTGTATGTATGTATGTCGTACCTAGATGCCAGAATGCACTTCTCGGCCTACAATGCAAGACTCGATTTGCCTAGTAGGCCGAGTGATTTTCTTTACTTTTAAAAAATCTTTTACAATTGGATTATTTGAAACTATTATTATATTATATTAAGAGCATAAAATATTGACTTAGTTATGTTAGTTTAGGTTAGATTCGACCATATATCTATATTAGTTTTAACTCATTAAATAAAATGAACTCATACATAATGAAATAGATAGGTTTATAATTTCATAAGAAAAAAATCAGAAAAATATATAAATTCAGGAAAACTTGGCTTATTAGGCAAATTGAGCCTTGTATAGTAGGCTGAGTACGACATTCTGGCTACTAGGTACAACATACATATATATAATATATAGTTAGTTATTGCATAATAACAACATACAAAGTATATTGTTGATATTAACAGTATATTAAGGATATACTGTACAGTATATGTATGTATATATATATATATATGTCGTACCTAGTAGCCAGAACTCACTTCTCAGCCTACTATGCAAGGCCCGATTTGCCTAATAAGCCAAGTTTTCATGAATTAATGTTTTTTCGTCTACCTAACCTACCTAACCTAACCTAACCTAGCTTTTTTTGGCTACCTAACCTAACCTTACCTATATATATAGGTTAGGTTAGGTTAGGTAGGGTTGGTTAGGTTCGGTCATATCTACGTTAATTTTAACTCCAATAAAAAAAAATTGACCTCATACATAGTGAAAAGGGTAGCTTTATCATTTCATAAGAAAAAAATTTAGTAAATAAATTAATTCAGGAAAACTTGGCTTATTAGGCAAATCGGGCCTTGAATAGTAGGCTGATAAGTGAGTTCTGGCTACTAGGTACGACATATATATATATATATATATATATATATATATATATTTATATCTAAATTTAACTAAAGCATTCTGTAGTGCAGTAAGCAAAGCCTAAGGTGTGTAGAAATACCTGCACTTATTTAGCCCTGTCTAGCTTTATATTATATTTTTAAACTAGCAGGATCAAATTAATAATTGGCTTGGATAACGTAAATTGAATAGGCATTTTTTTAACGTATTAAGAAATTCAGAGGAAGTTGATAATTCAGACCAAAAACAAAACATGAGGAATGAACAAGTAATCCTTCTGCTCAAAGATCAGCAAATATACTCAGCTGAGGATGCATCCCACCACTAAACTGAGAAGTGACTGACAACCAGCAACCACGGAAAAAAGTACGACTTACCTAGTAGCAACAAGAAGTCATTCAGTGGTCAGCAGCTCTTAATTACAGGCAAAATTAAGAATCCCTGAACAAGTAAGTAATTATCAAAAGAATTCACCAAGCCTGGGTGGCTATGTAGCACCATCAAATGTGCGGGATATTCAAAAGGCGCTGAATATCACCATGGATGCCAATACGAGAACAAAAGCACAAAGTGAACAACATCAGAGGTAACTAGTTCACCTAGGGACAAGTCGGGAAGCAGGATACACGCAAGCCTGTAAGTCAATATATTTAACGAAGATATATGCACGACCATAAAAGGAACAATGCAGTTTGGAGAAAAAGGGGCAGGGCAGCGCTCCATTAAGTGCCCGTGAGTTAAATGGGTATGGCTAATATGTAACCTTGCCAGAGCAGTTTCCCTTTGCCAGTTATGGTGGTAGGAGGAAGCCATGGAGACAAACTACCCTTAACCTCTGCACTGTGCAGAGCGCTTTAAGGTGTTCTTGAGAATTGTGCTATTTTTGTTTAATTAGGCTATATTTTAATGTTTTCATAACTCTGTGTTTTGAGATGAAAGTGGTTGAGTTTGGAAACATTTTGACATTAACTTTACCTGAACACTTATAAAAACAACAGAACTATGTCCTTGACAATTGCACTATGCAGTTTTTGCTGAAACCAAGTGTGCCGTGCGGTGGTTAAGAGCACGCAGTTTGTTACCAGTAACATATGTAAGTAATTATCAAAGAAGCTACCAACCCAGGAAGGCTATGTAGCACCATCAAATGTGCGGAATAATCAGCAAGCGCTAAATATCACCAAGGATGCCAACACGAGAACAGAAACGCATAAGGTGAACGATATCAAAAGTATTCGATTCACCAAGAATTCTATCGAGGGACAAGTGACCGCGGGGGACAGTCGGCGCACACGCTCATCCTGGAAGTCAGGACATTCAACAAAGATATGCACAACTGTAAGAGGAACAATGCAGTTAGGACAATAAGGAGCAGGGTGGCGCTCCATTAAGTGTCTGTGAATTAAGCACGTATGGCCAATACGCAACCTTGCCAGAGCCGTTTCCCACCGCCAGTTACGGTGGTAGGAGGAAGGCCACAGGGACATACTCTTAAGAGTATGCAGTTTGTTACCAGTAATAGAAGACCATCGATTCTGCCAACGGGCACTAATTGAGGAATGAATTACTGGGTAGAAGTTGAAATAAGGAACACCTTTGTGGGAAATGGGACAAGTGCAGACAGGCTCCTTTGTGGCAGCATCCACATGCTTATTTAATTAAGGAAACACCTATATGGTTGGGAACCCAGCAAAGCTACACCGTCTTATATCTGCTATAGAAAAGAAACGGCTAATGTTGAATTTTGACTACCACAAGATGGACAAGATTAAAGTACTCCAGAGCCATGAGGGCACTGCGAGAGTCAACTACAAATACAAAGGAAGATTGACAGCAAGAAAGCAGTTGAAGAGCAAACGAAAAGTGCATAAAGTTCTGTCGTGAAGATGCTAGTCTCCGGGGGGCAGGCGACACACAAGTGTCGCCTGAACAAACGACAACACTTTTTTACTGCTGAATACCGTAATCTGCAAAATGATTGCAGAAAGATCAACTGTTGTTGCATTACACATTGCAGGTTCCTTAGACTGGGTATGGCACCTTAATTTCTGTTCAGAAAAATAACTGCAGTTTGTGTACAAACTGTTAGTCTTGCAACATTTCAGCTAGTCCAATTATGTGAACTTAAAAATTTAATTTTTTGATATTAGTTGAAATTAGCATCTCGGTTTAAAATCAATTTTCCCTAACTTAATATTTTAAAAAAGAATTCGTCCTCTATAAAACACCGAAATTTCTTGTTACTACACACAGCATAACATTTAAAAAAGCAGCAAGTCTCATAAGAAAAACATATTACTATACTGCTGATTATCGTTGGGAAATACTGTTTTCTCTCGTTTCAGAGCCTCGTTGTTTAATCCCACTTGAGCACACCTAGTCACTTCCATATCATATCGGACATTGCCATGGTATGCAAGTACCTCAAGCTTAATTTTTATGGGACCAAAAAATAATTGTTTGGCACTTGCCAAACAATCCAAATGATTTAAAAACTCCAGGCCTATACATGAGAAATAATAGAAACAGGAAGCGTCATATGACAACAGACGATAAAGCAGGCACTAAAAATGTATTCAAAATTATAATTAGTATTCAAGTGCCTCACCTTGGAAGCCAGGCAGCCAGTTGGGTGGTGGTGGCGGCAGCTGTGCCAGACAAGCTGAAAACTCCAAACTCATATTATTGTTTACAAAAATACTTTTTATAATACAATGAAGCAAGAACTAATTTTGAACTTATGAAAAATATTTAAGGTACTTAAAAGTAACTTTAGCATGTTACCATTTAAACTGAGTATGGAATATGAAAACCTGAGAAGTCTGATGATATTATTTTACATTTAAACTCCTTGACCATATTCTTCCATAAATGAAGGAATAAAGTGTCTGATTAAATATGCACTAAAAATATTAATGCCCTTAGAACTTGACAAGGTTGGGAGTATTTTATGCAAGAGTTACTTGCATGTTAGGGGAAGTTTTTCTTCATCCCTATATGCATCATGTTTCCTTTGACCTTTAAAATGTTTTAATGACTTGAATGCAGTCTCAATTTGAACAACATGCTGGCTTAAATCTACCTTTTTCGACCTCTACCACGATTTTGTTTCTGCCGTGTAGCTGTGCGTTTTGGGTTGCAGTGATTAACAACACTCTTTAAACAATTTCTGGGAGGCCGTTTCACAACTTTTTTTGGAGCATCTCTAATTCTTCTGCCAACTGCTCTGGTTATCTGATGATGGATGATAATTGGATCATTGCATGCTTCGTCAGGTTTGTCAGCAGTGTTGATACTAGCAGCTTTGGCTTTCCTACGAGTATTTGGCCGACCAGAGGGTCGGGCATGCTCGGCATCAGGGTCCAACAATTTACATGACTTGGCTTTAACTTTAGATTTACCCTTTTTGTTCTTATTCTGAACTCCTTTACCATGTACTATTAATTCAAATGTTCCAGTTGACTGATGCTCTTCCTGGGATTGCTCGTAAAGTGACTTCCCAGTATCACTCGAGTCATTCATATCATGATCTTCAGTTATGTTGATTATTCTTGTTTCTTTATTAGTTTCCTTTAAAGCCACTTGTTTATTTTGGAGTAGTTTGTCTATACCAGCCATTGAAGAGTCAGATGCAGTAGTACAAACCATATATATTAATGGATCATCAACTGTGCTCTCATCAACTAATTCCTCAAATGGGACATCAATAATCTGCACCTGCTCATCAGTTTTACTTTTGCCATCATAGTTCCCCACTGTCCATATGTTGGTATTCACATTCGAGATGCTATTATTGGTGTGTCCTTCATCTTCTATATAAATGTTACTCACATCTGTTTCAGTCTCAATGTCGTCATTTCTTTGCTCTAGAGTGGAAAAAGAATTTCCATCTTTATCTTTGCACTCGCCATTACTTGGCAAAACTGCACAACTAAAGACAGTGTTGTGCTCGCTATTATGTCTGCGTCTCTTGTACTTTATATCACTTTTCTTGGTGGACTCGCTGTTTACTAATGAGGAACTATCACCATCTCTCCCTCTCTTTAGTCTCTCGCAAACATCTGCATGCTCTTGTTTCGTACCAGGCATCAAGTGTACACTGCCACTAGTCAAATCGCAGCCCAAAATTTTATGTTCGATGTCTACTTTCATCAGATTTTCATTGGATATACTTTCAATTCTGAAATCCAGGGGTATAAAGTCTTCCTCCACAAAAGCACCACAATCTGTGTTTTGATCTGCGCACACAGTCTTGGAATTGGATCTCTCGCTCCCAGTAGCAGCAATTCTCTCACCAGTATCCGAGCCTGTTCCCATCTTGACATGTGCTCTTATGTCATCTACTTCTGCATTTGGTTCTGTTTCGTCAGTCCCCACACTCGGCACAGGCCCCTCAGTCCCCACACTCGGCACAGGCCCCTCAGTCCCCACACTCGGCACAGGCCCCTCAGTCCCCACACTCGGCACAGGCCCCTCAGTCCCCACACTCGGCACAGGCCCCTCAGTCCCCACACTCGGCACAGGCCCCTCAGTCCCCACTCTCGGCACAGGCCCCTCAGTCCCCACTCTCGGCACAGGCCCCTCAGTCCCCACTCTCGGCACAGGCCCCTCAGTCCCCACTCTCGGCACAGGCCCCTCAGTCCCCACTCTCGGCACAGGCCCCTCAGTCCCCACTCTCGGCACAGGCCCCTCAGTCCCCACTCTCGGCACAGGCCCCTCAGTCCCCACTCTCGGCACAGGCCCCTCAGTCCCCACTCTCGGCACAGGCCCCTCAGTCCCCACCCTCGGCACAGGCCCCTCAGTCCCCACTCTCGGCACAGGCCCCTCAGTCCCCACTCTCGGCACAGGCCCCTCAGTCCCCACTCTCGGCACAGGCCCCTCAGTCCCCACTCTCGGCACAGGCCCCTCAGTCCCCACTCTCGGCACAGGCCCCTCAGTCCCCACTCTCGGCACAGGCCCCTCAGTCCCCACTCTCGGCACAGGCCCCTCAGTCCCCACTCTCGGCACAGGCCCCTCAGTCCCCACTCTCGGCACAGGCCCCTCAGTCCCCACTCTCGGCACAGGCCCCTCAGTCCCCACTCTCGGCACAGGCCCCTCAGTCCCCACTCTCGGCACAGGCCCCTCAGTCCCCACTCTCGGCACAGGCCCTAGGTCTGATCCTAAACTCAGTGTTCCAGCAGTTGGCCCTATTAGTCCACCTTCCAGCTTACCTGTGCCTGATTCTACTTGTGTCATGGAGACCATCACTGCTCCTTTAATCTCCGAGTTTAGTCCTGCCCTATCTATTATGCCATCTGATCCCTTCAACTTTGTACCAACATTAAAGCCTTGCGTCCCTGTCCCTCCACCTGGTTTGATCATCACTGTTGCAGTGTTGGGTCCCATTCTCCCACTCCTACTCATCCCTGTCTTGGGAGATCTTAATGGTTCCCCAGCCTTTGCTGTTAAACTTGCTGCTGGTTTCATCAAACCACAGGATCCATTTCTGGGCTGAGCTAGGTGTTGGTAAGTGCAGGAGTCGTCATTGCAGCGGCCCAGCAAATCGTGGGGGCACAGCTCATTCATCTCGTCAAGCTTCTCTCCACTGGATTGTACAAGAATAAACAAGTTAAAAACATGTGTAAAATATAGGGTGGAAGGAAATTAAATAGCACACCAAAACATCTAAGATGCTACATTTGCTTTCCAAGACAGCAGAAACACTACACTAGTAAATTTGCTACCCACATTTGTATTATTCTTAATAACTGCATCAGTAAAGTTGAATAATTATAAAAAAGCGGCAGCATCAAGCCAGGAAGACTATGTAGCATTATTGAGGAAAAAATAAAAATAAATAAATCCTTTCCAAGAGAATAATAATGAAATGTACATTCATAAATAAGAAATCGGCCGTCTTCGTAATTGGTCATGAAAGCAAATGTACTGCACAACATGATATCTATCCGTAAGCAATAGCTCACTATTTGGTAGGATCATCCACAGTTTCTTCATGTGAAGCAGTGTTAAGAGAAAATGATACAGCAACTGATATTGGGACCATCATTTCTGTATTTCTTTTATCAGTGCTATTATTTTTGGGGAACTAGGGTAAGGGAACTATCAGGATAAGGAATGGTACCCAAGCACTTTGACGGTTGGCGATTGAACACTGATCTGTATGAAGAGAGACTGTCGCTCTACCGTCTAGCTCAAGAGGTTGGAGGCTAGTTGGTGTGAAAGCTTCCAAGGAAGTTGGAAGAACCAGTATTCTCCAAAAGAATGCATTAATAGGATACAATTTACATTAAATGTTTAATAAATCAAGCCTTATAAGTGAAGGGCTATCAATCTAAACTTCACTACTAATCTCCAGTCCAGTCTGATTAGTTTTATCAATGTTCATAAAATTACAAATTCCTGTTTGTGTACATGCACCCCTTTCCCCTTTATACACACACACACTAAAGCTAAACAAGGTGAAGCAGCTACTCTACTACCAAGTGCAATATAGTTTCCAAATCTTTATATGGGAACTTTTCATCTTTGATAAAGTACAGAATAGTTCCCGACATCTCTTAAATGTCCTAAGTGCCAAGATGTTATTCTGGCTTAGATAAGTGAAGCAATTACTAGTGGCTAGCAGGGTGAAAAAGATCACCTGTAGCAATTACAAGCAAGACATTTGACGGGATGAAATACAAACAATATAAGCTCAAGAGGGTAAAGAGCACCAGGTCAATGTGAAGGTAGAAAAGTGAGCAGCTCAATTGTGACTATAGCCAGAGACAAGATACATGTGAAAAAATTGGTATAGCACCCACATTTACTCCTGCCCCTCCCCCCTCCATTTCTTTCAAGTTCTTCTTAATTACATTTTTTTTTAAGAAGCAGGCTTAAACTGCATTTTTTAATAAATCTTCAAATTATTCATTGAACTACTGCTCTTCATTAAGTCTTACAGCTTATATTAGAAAACATATCTGAAAATCACATCAAATAATACAAACAAAATCAGGTAGACTCACTCTTCTACTGTATTTAAATGTACTTCATGACTGGAACACAGGGAAGCACCAGAAGTCTTCCCTTCACCTGCTGTTGCTCCCTTCTCAAGAACGGTGCTGTTCTCGCCGTCCTTTTGTGATCTGGCCACTTTCGTAGACCTCTCATTACACGATGGAGCTTCTTTACGCTTCGGACTCGGATTTCCACCACACACATTTTCAGGCGAGAAGCATTTACTTTTTGATGAACATGCAACTGGACTGGAGCTACTTCTGTTCACTTTATTTTGAGACTTTTCAGCCTGTAATTGAGTTTTAACAGTAGCTTTAACATTGCCTTCAAAGGCAGTACCATAATTGCCTAAATTCTGGTTAGGCGAGACAATTTTTGGTGCAGGTTTAGACATGCTGCAATGGTTATTATCTGCCATATTGAGTACTTTAATACTCCCGGTTTTGTCTGTATGGGCATCAACCTGGAGCCTGGCTTTACTTTTGTTAGATACATCACGCATTTGCTGGCGAAGAGCATCTATGTTGCTAGCAAGCTGCTTCTTTCTAAATGCATCCTTTGTTTTGGAATGTGGTGAGCCTAGCACCTTGGGAAGAGTGTAGCCACTTCCATATTCCTGCAATAAAGCACATAGTCGACAATGCTAAGGTGTAATGATAAATCATGCACACAATTAACCAGATTTTAACTGCCAATAACACACAATTATAAAAACTCAACATTACGGTATCACTTTGAGCCGATTACATAGTAGGACTCTTTCTAAACCATATTGTAAATTACATGCGATTCAATTAGCGAATCGGAGGAGGTATCCTCGGATCCAATACCAAGTATAACGTACAAATGAAAATTCTTAAATTTCTCATAATAAAATTAATTCCACCAGGACTACTGTGGAGTGAAAAAAGCAGTGAAAATTTAGGAAAAAGGAGTTGGGAGCAAGAGTTTTAATTCATTCACAGTTCACAGACAAATGCAGGTGAGCAATATCTTAAACACTGACCCTTCTTGGATGCTGATGCACTGGCTGAATTGCCTAATACTGTTTTGGAGACGTTTTATAGTCCGTGTCAATGTTCCAGCATTATGCCTTCATGGCTCTGCCTCTGGTTTAGTTCATTATGCTAGTTGTGGGCTATAATGTTAAATCTTTCACAAGTTCCTTTGGTCTTGTCTAATTTAGCACTTATGAGGGGGGTTGAGGAAAAAGGGTCAGCACTGCCTGCTTGTCATGGCAAACTGGTCTATATGGGTTTGGTTTAGTCTCACTTCTCTCCTTTTCCCTGACAAGATCATTTGCAGAGATATTTGTCTGGCTAGGAGGCAAGATTACAAAACCCTAAACTTACAGATCTTCATACAATGTACCAAAATTGTGACATTAACAATGAGCATCAAAACTCAGAGGCTTTAGTGACATGTAAAAGACTTAGGTTTGAGTGCTATCAAGTACAACTGTGTGCCCATCATCAGACAATAGTAGAATGATGGAGACTAGAGAGGAGAGGGCTCGCTCTCTCACTGGCCTACATGAGCCTGGGGGCTCTCTACTTTATAATCTCCATTCAAGCATTGTCTCTGACAATGGGCACAGACTTTCTTGAAAGTGATCAGACTTTGGTCCTTCCTGTTCACTTATGGTTGAAAAGCATTTTTGAAATCAGTGCGAGAAAATAAATATATATAATTGCACAAAGGCAATTATATGTATTGGTTATATTTATAATATTTAAGGTTTGAGGAGCACTGATGCCCAATTATTTAGTTTAATTTGACTATACTTTAATTAGAAAACAGGAAACTTAGAAAATAAAATCATAAAGTGAATAACTTTTTAAAATTTCTTTACATCATAAAGTAAGGCAGAAACAGAGATGTCACAACCAAAGGGTTAATATTAAAATTAATTATCCACAAAGAAATACCTAACTGAAATATAGCCAATAAAATTAATAAAATACGAATGTCACACATTAAGTTTTTTTTTTACCTGTTGACCCAGAAGCTTTCCTTTCTGTTCTAGATCATTTATCACCTTCCGATCTGTCGTTATTTGTGTCTGTAGTTCTCTTATACTTTCCATCTTGCTCTTGAATATACTGGATTTTGTCTGCAAATTTGTAATCTAGTCTTACAGTATGCGTCACACAAGGAATAGTTAGTACACAACAAACTGGAAATACAACTTTAAATTGATGGATAATATGTTTGCTGTCTTCAGCAAAGGAAACTTTCACCAAGCCTGTAAATGCTGCACATCTTTTATGTCCTTTCTGGCGTAGACGTGCAAAATCATCCCCCCAGGCTTCATAAATATAAATATAAATAAATAAATAAATAAATATAATATATATATATATATATATATATATATATATATATATATATTAATAAAAAATAGTTTAGGGTTATAGATGCACATAATAGATGGTTATAAATGTGATGGACATAGGATATTGTTATGCATTTTGTTGCCATCTGCCGGTAATGTGTATGGGGCACTATGCTATTCTTTGAATTCATTACCACACCCACCAGAACAGCTTAGTGGTTCGCAATTATGATTGAAAATATATGTTTCACACATTTTATTACATAAATTTCTCAAGACACACTATTGCATAATATTACTGGGAAGAAAGCAAAAAATTCTTCACAGCAGGCTTGGGGCGACCACAACAGGGCGATTGCTCAAAACATGCCCACGAATAGTGATATAGCAAAACTTCTAGGCTTCACCATAGCCAAAGTCACAATGTTTATTTATCCCCCCCCCCATGACTACAGAATCCATTTCAACAATGTTAAAAGGACATAATATTTTGAACTTTCTTCTATCTTATGCACCGGGGGAGTTTTGTCAGCTATTAACAGTTGCGTAGCCCAGGGGTTTAATGAATGCAATGACAAACTCAATGTAAATACATATGACAGTTATGAAAATACTGTAGTGTTGAGATTTAAAGTTGTGGGTTTGAGATCTATTTTATGCAAGTTGTGTCAAACATGCACACAGTATACATACTGTATAGTATCCATTATTTAAGGACCTTTGATTTGCAAGCCGTATGGTTCTAATGGACGAGTTTCAAATCAGTAACTGAAGCCTTATTTACAATCATTGATCTGGTATCTTCCAGAGTATAATTAAATAAGTTGCGAACATTATAACACCTCTAGGTTTAGCGGAGGTCAAGATTTAATGAGTGGGGGTATAGCCCCATATAGGTCTTGAAATTGAGTGGATAACAATTGTAAAAGGCAGTAAATTCTGAAATGGATAGAATGCCTTACACCATCTGAACATAAAAGATAATCTGTAAGTACTGCTCTGAACAAGAATACAGCAAGTAAAATCTATTATACAACCAAAAAATGGTTCAGTCATTATAATACAAGTAATTGTTTTAATTAATGTAAAACCCTATCAACCATTATTCCAATTATAATACCTACAATACAAATGCTTACTAAAATTTTAACCAACACTGTGCATTCTCTCCAATGTTTTCATTACAAACTAATAATTATCAATTAAAAACTTTTTTTTACATTGTTAAAAAAAAAAAAATTACATACACACATTGTATAAAAAAAAACTAAAATGTCACTTGCCTCCAACTGCATTTCCTTCTCCTTCAACTGCTTCCGCAGGTCCATCAGACTCTTCTTGAGAGACTCCATTTGCAATCCCTCATCTTTTGCTTCTTGAACTAGAGATGCCAGTTGTGTAATTACCTTATTTAGGCCAAGCCTGAAAATGGTAACTGCAATTAGTCACAAACTTATAAAAATTATCCAGGACAATTACAATTTGTTTTGGGTGCATTAACTTAAAAGGAGGATAGAAGGATAGAGGAAGAGACAAGGACAGGGGGTTTTAACCGTTGTAAACTGATACACATGTACACTATTTTAAAGTTAAATGTGTACAAGGTACGTAGAAGTACAGACTGTTTGTGCTACGTAGATGAACAAACAAGGCTAAAGTACGTTGACCAGACCACACACTAGAAGGTGAAGGGATAACGTTTCGGTACGTCCTGGACCATTCTCAAGTCGATTGTCGACTCGACAATCGACTTGAGAATGGTCCAGGACGTACCGAAACGTCGTCATCCCTTCACCTTCTAGTGTGTGGTCTGGTCAACATTAACAAACAAGTTAACTGGACATACTTAATCTCAAAACTTAAGAACACAATATCAACAGACTTGTATGGCAAAAGGAAAAAAAAAGAACACAATATCAACAGACTTGTATGGCAAAAGGAAAAAAAAAAAAAAAAAAAAAAGTTTCTTACCGTTTATCAGAGTATTTATGTTCTATCTCTTTTAAAAGCAAAATTCTCTTGTTCTTAACTGACTTTTCTCTATCTTCTTGACACACTCCTTTTCCTGAAGCCTTTGGCTGGTACCCAACTTTAGCTCCGCTGCTCACAGAATTCTCAGCTTTAGCTCCACTGCTCACAGAATTCCCAGAGACTGCCCAGTTGTTGACGTCAGTTGGACAAAGAGTTTCTGTGGGTTTAACTGACTTTCCTTGAGTTGCACCCCCCATTTTTGTTTCAGTTTTTTTGGTAATGCCTTGCTTTTCAATTTTCAACTCTTGCTTCTCTGTCGAAAGTTTTAACAATGATGTTTTTGCATTTATTTTGAGTGATTTGCATTTCTCTTTTTCAACTTCTTGCAATTTACGTTTTACATTAACACTCATGTCCACTATTTGTACTGCATTAAGGTCTGTTTCTGACCCATTAATATGGTCAGTGGCATTTTGTTGTCCTACTTTGGAACAAGTTCTTAAAAGGACCTCCCGAGGCTTTTCCACGGGAGGTGATCCTTTGTCCATAGTATTAACAGATTCAATATTGTTGCATACTTTAGCAGATGTATTTACACCAGGCTTTATATTTTCAACATCACTCTCGGATAGTGTGTCATAATGTGTGACACTAGAGGAAGATGGTATACTACTAGAGAGAGACACGTCTCCAATACTGAATCCTTTATTTACGTTCGTGTCTCCGTCTTTTATATTATCAGGCTTATGTGGCCCGCTATTTTCACTCGCCAGTATTCCACAAGTTTGTATTGTAACACTAGTAACATCCATTACTTTACTTCCATCTTCACTGTAAGTCCTACTTTGAATGTTCATTTTCAGTTTGTCTTTGTCATTAATAACACTGTTCCCCGATTTTTCCTCCTTCAATAAACTATCTTTACAGACTTGTGCCACACCTTCTATGTCCTGGCCAGTACTAATACATGCCAGGTTTTTAGATGCCATGTGTTCCTCATGTGATACCGTACTCAAGCTGTCTTTGAGCCCCCCACTGTCACCTTTATCTTTCACCTTTGAATTTTTCACACCCGTCATAAGGGTACTCTCTGCCACTTCTGTTTCACCTGCCCCAATCAACCCACTACATTCATTTCCCTCTAATGTAGGCTTTCTCACACCTGATAAGCCACCAGCAATATTACTAGAATTAACCCCCAAAATCACATGATCTTTTGCCATTTCATCCTCGGCATTCTCAGTTTCAAAATCACGACATAGTTTACCATCCTCCCCATCACTGCTGTGATTGCCACCATTCCCTTCAATTCCCTCTTCAAGAACTTCATCCAACACCATCCATTCTCCCCCCATATCCACATCATGTTGCTCCTCTCGGCTACTTTCTTGTTTACCCTCAGTCTCATTTTGCTGTATAACCACTTGGCGTTCATTTCGCCGACTTGCCGACTCTTGAACACTCTTGGTTGAAACATGAACATTTTGATGTATGACTACTTTTAGAGTAGTCGTTGATTTTTCATCTTCAGGAACATTCGAAATATACATATCAGATGTTTCATGTTGAGAAATGTCTCCCAAGGGTGTGATTCTTCCAGGAATTGTTTCGACTTTTCTCCCCGACATATTCTTTTGTAGTGTCTGGAGCACCCTCATTCTCAACGTGTCCTCATCTTCATCCTCTGCTGCAGACACTTCCTGGGATGACTCACTTGTACCAACTACATTTGATGGATGTGGTTCATTGCTTCCTCTGTCGTCAACCTCTCCAGAGCTGAAAACATTAACTTGATTCTCGAAATTGCTAATATTTGCAAGTTGAATCTGTAATCTTCCCATTTCTTTAAAGCAAACTTCTCTAGAGCTGGACATTCCTCCACTACCACTTGCCCCATCTGGCTCTGGACAATCAAGAATACTCTCCCTCTCTGGCCCAAAGTTGCTAACTTTATGAAATTTACCACTAGGACCAGCACTAGCAACTCCGTAACTATTTCTGCTATCCCGATCAGAACCCTCAGAGGTATCAGAAAATGTGGACCTGTTAGACATAAATGGTCGCTGTTGTTGCAACTTTTTCTTGCGATGTAACATCTCTTTCATTCTCAGCTGTTCTTTGAGAAGACGATATTCCACCTGCTGAGTGCGACTCAAGTGTCGCACAACCTATAGAGCAAGATAAAAATCAATAAATTAAAATGAAAACTGCATACTCTATTCATAAAATCCTCTATATTAAATCAAATTAATAAAAGTAGTGACCTAAATCCAGATACAGTGGAACCTCGGTGTACGAATTTAATCTGTTCCAAGAAATGCATTGTAACCCGAATATTTGCACACCGAATCGAATTTCCCCCATAAGAAATAATGTAAATTGAATTAATCCATTCCACACGCCAAAAAATTTTAACTTAAAAATACATTTTACACAAAATACTACTAAAACTGTAAATAAATTTTATGAACATTTAACTGCACTTTACCTTTATTGGGAACTCTTGTTGGTGTATGAAAGATAGTGAGAGGGGGGGTAGGTGGCGAAGTGGTGTTAGTGTTTGGAAGGGTAGTTCCCACCCATTATAACATCAGACAGTGGCAACATCTCTGGGGTACTCTCTCTCTCTCTCTGTTTTGTAGGCCTTTGTAGGCCTAGGCCAGGACCAAAGTAGGCCAGGACTTTGACCTGGTTGTGGCCCACTGGTTGTTTGTCTCGCTATGAAACCTGTCCAGAAACTTATTTTTGCCTACATCTTAGCAATTGTCTAGAATGAGACATGATAAAGCTGGCTCGCTACAGCTTTAACTGGGTTAGTTTTTCTAGCAAAATTTTTGCAGTTTTTCCCATACTGCACACATTTTCCTAGCCAGATCAACCACGCACATACTGTCTTTAGGTTTTCTTAGGTTAAACTTTACCACCGACTTTCTTGGGACTCATGGTGTAATATATATATATAACAACTTTTATGTTGAACAAAAACCACAAAAACTATTACATTTTTCAGAGAATTCAAGCACAGTTGAGATGATCACTAGGCAGGACACAAGGGTAAATTGATTTTACCGACTCGGGCAAGTATGAACGAGCGTCGTACACCAGGGCATATTTTCCGACAATATTGTCGACGTACAGAAAAATTTGTACTCTGGGACTATCATACACTGAAGCTCCGCTGTATATATACAGTATATAGCAGATTCCAATAAAATTACCAAATCTGTCTACCAGGTTGCCTCTCCAAAAATCTATAGTCTGTCAGGTTTATTAACCAATATTTAGCAACTTTTTTTTTTGTTTTATCTTTGGTTATTTTTGCCTTTTTACAGTAAATATTAAAAATAATGCTTTTATATTTTATATATACTATACAGTATACTATAACTATGACATACTGTCACTGTATCTTGCTGCCTTGGATACCAATATCCTGCTACAAAAAGTCAAAACAAATTTAAAAAATGTTCAGCATGTTAATTACTTGTATGAATACAAAAATTTAACTTGCCACTTTGTATCAAAATATGCAGAATTATTTATTAACCATAAAGCAACTACAAATTAGAAACATACGTATTTATAAAGCCACAAATTTTAATTATAACATTCACATCACCAACTAATGCCTGATTTACTTAGGAAAGGGAAGAGTTAATCAATTCTTGAGCTAACCCATAAGGCACGAGACATCTAAAAATGGAATAAAATTTACTTTATCCAAACAAAATTTAAGGCCCAGCTGATACAAATGAAGTTGAAGCAAATAAGCTGGTATTAGATAAGGTGTTCAAAAAATATGCATAATATAAGGAACTATTGCATTATGCATGTACATTAGGTAGCAAGGAACATCCCAGACAATATTAGCTCCCAAGAATATTGAACCCAATATTGAATTTTTCCAGTGTATGCCACTTGGCCACCTGTACAGTATAGCATACAAGTATTCTCATGTTTGTTTCTCTGAAATTTGTGCAGGTATATGATAATGTGCCGACTTATATTTATATATGCATGACCATAATACAACAAACTTACATTAGGTGTCGAGTCTTTGGGGACTATTTTGGTTCTCGGTGAGCTATTCCCGGAGGGTCTTGGATTCTCTGGTATACTTCTACCTTCACCAGTTCTAGCATTGCGTATACTTTTCAAAAAGAGATCAATGCTCGAGCTAATCGCACCACTATGGGAGACTTCAGGAACATTTTCTTTCCTACTGGTTTGTTTCCCAATCCGACCTTCTTCAGTTTCATCTTCTGAATCGGAGTTCAAGTTGATAATAACTGGCTTGACTAGAGGAAACTTGAACTTAGGACCCTCAGCATGGGCAGAAAAATCTTGAGGTACAACATAATCATACTGGCTACTTTTGGGGTCTAAACCAAAGCCACCAATATCTGAAAGCCCTGGTCGTGAATCAGTTCTAAACGTGTGTGTTGGACTACCCTCCTTAATCCTGGATTGTTTGTGCATACTTTTTAAAAATGCCGCTTGACCGACACGTATTCTGGCAATTGGAGAAGACTCTGATGATGAAGGATAACTGTGAGCAGGAGAGAGCTCGCCTGTTTCTCGGCACCCATAAGAAAATTTTTGATCAGAGTTCTTTTGGCGACACAAGTACTTGCCAGTTTTAACAGACGCTGACAATTTGTGCACCGGTTTTGGAGTTTCTGCTTTTTGCTGCTTTTTCTTTGACAAATCAATCAGAAGTTTAGCACGCAACACATCTTCATCTTCCTCTTCTGGTAAAGGTTCGGCATTTTGCATAGGATCTATATTCACAGTCACTTGTTCTAAATGTCTAACAATTGTTGAAGCTGAACCCTGCTTCTTTTTTGTTTGGATTGATCTTTTTTTCTGACGCTCTCTCTTCCGCCTTCTTGCTTCACTCTTCTTACTAATCATGATACCTCGATTTGGGCTAATCTGTGACTTCAATACAAGTTGATTTGCAGTGCACATCTGACTTGAATATTTACCAACATCTTTTATTAAAGGAACTTCAATCAAATTCCTTTGGCCATTATCATTACTTGTATGCTTAGGTTGTGAGGTCTGTTGTTTTATCATTACTTTCATAAAAGCCTGGTATTGCTCTGCAGGTAAATCCTTCAAGTTCTTTTGAGAGTCTGCAACATGTTTTTCTTCAAGATTCTCCACTTTGCTAACATTAGATCCATCACTATCTTGGGACATTGATGCCTTGCTAGAAACTACATCCTTATTTGTTAAATTTACTGCATGATCCTCATTGTGAGAACAATTCCACTGTGGACTGTCTGACTGCTGTCCTTCCCAGTCAGGTTTGTTCAATTCTTGCGTATCATAGTGGCTGTACTGTGTGTTCGAGTCGCATTGTGATTGCATACTTTGGAGATACATATTTTGATCATAACACCAGTTGTCAATGTTGCTAAGATCATTGGCTGGTTGGTCTGGTGGTGGTGGTGGCGGCATCATGTATGCCCATTCCACTGGTATCTGGAAATTACTATTTTGCTGTGGTCCTTCTGGCCCACTTGAAGTGGAGGATTGCTCATTTAATAAGCTTGAACGCTCATTTGAAATATCCATTAGAGATGGTGTGTCCAAAGATTCTTTAATAACGAGAGGAATGTCATCGCCAATCTCCTGAAGGACATCATCTTCAAGTGTGTTCTCTTCATCTTCTGGAGAACTGTCACAAATATCCATATCAACTGGATCCTGATTACAGTCTGAAAGCTCTTTAGCATCTCTAATCAATTCGTCTTCAACGTTATTAACTTGCTGACTACTAGTTGCAGGTGAACCCATATAACTTTTATGAGTGTTGATAGAATCAATTACAATTTCACACCCTATATTGTCTGGTGTTGCAGGTGATTGTGTGGAACACTCACTAATTCCATCTAACATAGCCTCAATGTCTCGCATAATACTACTTTCTCCACCACCTTGAATATTTTTTTCAACACTTGAATTTTCCAAAACATTCCCTTGTTCTGGAAAGGACTTATCACACCTTTGTTCAGAAATGCTCTCTAAGTTACTATTAACCATAAATTTGTCCCTACTCTGTTGAAACAAATTAGGGACAAACTGCAGCTGGTCAAGATCAACTTGAATTATGTTCTTTGTCTCCTCATTGCTCTCAGATGGTATTTTTGAGATCAAAGATCCACAGGCCAGGTCTTGCCCTTCTTTATGGACATCACTGAGGACCCTAAGGGAGGACTGAAGGGCAATCAGTCTCAGCTGTAACTCATCTTCATCTTCTTGATCCAGTGTATAGCACTCTGGTGTAAGGTCCTTAATTGCCTCTCCCACTGGTAAAATATTTTTTATCACCGATTTACTAACACTACCCTCCTCATCTGCCAAGGTGTTAGATTCTCCAGCTTCCACACGCACTTTAAGTTTGCCTTTCATCGTTTTCTTCAACAACATTTCTCCTAGACTCCCTGGGGGAGGCTGTTTTTGCCCCTTCAACAGTACAATGTCTTGCATTTTCTCTTTCGACAGTTGGTCAGATTTATTCCCATCACTGATCTTGCTACTTTTGACCGTGTTTGCTTTACAGTTTTTAATCTGAGATTGTTTTTGAGCATAAGATGATATACTGCCTTTGCCGAGGTTCTTTGAAGGCTTATGGCAATTGCGTAATAGTGTAGATTTCCTATAAATAAACTTCTGGGCAGGAGATTTTGGTAACATATGTTTACTTGATTTTTTAAAAGTAGGTTTATGAACAGGTGGTTGCTTGATAGAGGTGCTCTGTGATGGAGGTTTAGCAGGACCATATGGCAGTGGCGATCTGGGACGAACTCGACTGACTGAGCTTGAGCCTTGGTTCTCCTTCCCTGAAAGAATTGGCATTCTTAAGACAAATAAGCTTGGATGATCATAATTGTAATGATTGATGTCCAATAACACCACCTAGCATGCAAAACAAATTAATAATTGTAATCCTGTGAAAGAAAGAGAGAAAGAAAGAGAAAAAGAGAAAGAGAAGGAAAGAGAAAGAAAGGAAAAGAAAAAGAGAGAGGCTTCACTACACCAGAGGTTCCAGCATCCTAAACTAGGCCTGTGCCAGGGTGGTCGGGGACAATGAATATCTGATGAACCACCACCCTCCTCTCTACCATCTAATGCTCAAAGAGACTTTGGTGAGTGAACATATAAGCTGGAACACAATATATGTCAACCTTACAAGTTCACTCACCAGTCTCCGAGTATAAGATGGTAGAGAGAAGGGGGGGGGGGATATGGCTGACATTCATAGTCCCCCACTGCCCTGGGACAAGCCTCACTCTCTGCTCTGCTTCAAGCTCCGTCTCAACGTCTACGACACTGCTGTATCCAAGACTAAATAAATATGAAAATCCACTAAATACTGTGTATCTAATCTACTCAACAAGTAACAATCGTACGTTACATTAGTAACGTACTAATGTAACGTACGATTATGTTACATTGTTGAGTAGATTAGATACACAGTATTTAGTGGATTTTCATATTTATTTAGTAGTGTTGGATACAGCAGTGTTGTAGACGTTGAGATGGAGCTTGGAGCAGAGCAGAGCAGAGCAGAGCTGAGCAAGGCTGGAGTCGCGGAGCTCTGTGTGGGTGTGTGTTGTAGCTGGATGCGGTCCTAGTCTGCCGTCTGTTCTGTGTAGAAGCTGTAGTGTCTGGGGTCGATTAGAACTGCATACGCCGAGTGCTACATTTTTGACCGGAAATTGTATTCCTGAGCTTACTGGGCTCAGAAATAGCCTATAGTGTAGTGAAGTCAGTCAGTCTGTCTCTCTCTCTAATGTACAATTCCTCAGGTATTAAAGGGGGAACCTGGAGGTAAACTCCACCTACCAGGAGACAGTCTCTGGCTATCTTCCTACCACACCTAGACAGCGGCTTGTTTGATGGATAGAACACAGCCACCCGTCTGTAATTATTAGCTTAGCAGAGCGAGGTCATCTGATGAGACCAGACCTTTGCAACCTGTGACAACACACAAAAGGCGTGCCTTTGGAAATGCTAAGGGCAGACAGCCTGGCACTGCCAATATCCTCTGAACTGACTCGTTTTATGGTGAAATAATAAATACAGTATCACCATTTATGGTGTTACCTGCTTGATGGGGTTCTGAGAGTTGTTCTACTCCAAGCCCGGCCATTACAATATAAGATTGCCTAATCTCATTATCTAATAATTGCAGTTCATAATTTTTTGGGGGGAAGGAGGGCTTATTGCTGAAGTTAGGCTAGGCAGCCACAAAGGTTTAACATTAGCAAGATGACAAGGGGGTAATATGTTAAAAAGCTAGTTTCACAAGTTTTATTAACTCATTTCTTGATGAGCTTTGGGTATGGAAAAGCCAGTCGAGGTCCTTGAAATCTAAAACTGCCAATACCTGTTTTCAGGCAGCGTGTATTGAAACTTAACACTTTCACGATCAATGCGTTCTGAAAAAAACTTACCGTATGTGCTTTCGGCGTTTCGCGCGCCTACACGGTAAGACCGAAAAAGTGTACTCTTTTGACTGTCCTGACAATAATTGAAGGCGCACGTATTTAAATTTGGTATCACTGTGTTCGCAATAAAATTGTCTATAAGAACATACCTATAAAATGCCGCCAAAGCATAAGGACTATCAACACCAAATAAAAAACTATTCAGATCACTAGCCGAGAGCGCCAAACAGCAACAAAATGTTTCCACTCTCTTAATGGTTGCGAAGCCTACAGTTGTCCTACATCGCTAATTGTGATATCATTGGAATCGCAATAAAATTCTCTACACGGACATATGCATATAAATATAGATTCAATGTCGTAGCCCACCCAAAACAGTGTGGGAAGTGGCCGAAGTGTTACCCGCGGCGGCATATCGGCGAAACTCGCTTTGAAAAGTGTATATTCAATTCACTGTCCTGACATTATTTTTCGATGTATGTATTTCATTTTTATTCCAATGTGTTCGCAATAGAATGTTCTATAAGAACATAAGTATTAAAGGTCACATAAGGATGCGTTCGACCGGCAACATATATATAAACTACGTCGATTATACTCTTCGTGTCAATAATACAATTGTTTTACCACGATGATTCACTGCCACACCGTTTTCTTTAATAAGCTGTTCGGCTATTAGAAAAAACGTAAATTTCATGGCAAACATTTGTAAACTATTCCCAAGTTGATCGGATAATAAATGGAATTTATACAAATATTTTTTCGCCGGACTACACGCATAGTCTGTTATGCGGAAACGTAAGAAAATTTGGTGACGACCCACGAAATCATCAAATGCGGGAAAGTGTTAACTCTGCATGCTGCAAAAGTCAAGCCCGAGGTCAGAATGGCCTTAAAAATTTACAATCCAATTATCCAAACAAATCACTGACTTTTTAAACTGCAATAGTGTACTGTACAGATATTTCCATGTTACACAATGAAAAGTACAACTTGATACAGTACTGTATATGGTTCTCTTAATTTCTTGATCCTGCAATGCATTTGCAAACTTCTTTTCTAATGAAATGTCAATGTATTTTCCAGCATTTTGAAATTCGTCTTGTGCGAGCATATAGGTAGCGTTTTTGCAATTGAATTTGGTAATTAAATATGGTATGGTACCTTATTTACCACTGGGGATGCATTCCTGTAAATTATGGTGGTTAGCTGAATCTTATGTGAAGCATATTACTCAGGATGGTGCATGCCTAACACTTACCTAGACCACATTATTAAAGCTTCACTGGATTACTGAAACAATACACATGACCATGATTTTGTAGATATAAAAACTACTCTGGCTATCTAACATACACACCAGGGTGGGGGAGGACAGACAAGGGAGAAAGGGGATAGGGAAGAAAGGACAGGAGAAGAGGGGGGAACAGGCAGACTTGGGGAGGGGGATAAGGGACAGCACACATACAGGAAGGAAAGGAACAGAAGCATGTGTTGTGGATTAGTCAGAAGTTCATGTGGAGTGAGGGATGGGGGAGGAAAGGGTGTATGTTAAGTGTACAAGACTGAGTGGTATCCAATTGTATGGTCAACTAGACAACAAAAAGAGGGGCTTGGATACACTTCCTCAAGATTGCCAAGTTTATCTCAGCAAGTGTGCATAACAAGTTATGTACAGGTGTGATAAGCTGTCTGGTTTTGCCTAGTCCCAAACTTTCACTAATCAGCCAGATCATCCACGAGCCTGTCAACCAGCTAGCAATGATTGTCCCCCCCCCACTGATTATCGCAATTTGACAATGATTGATGACATTAAACAAGACAAGTCATTTTTTAAGTTTTATGAAGCCAATATTCAGTTTTCTATCAATTTTAGGTGGTAGACCAATAGCAAAATATATAGTGAAAAGTAAGAATTTAGAAAATTATTGCAAACTCTTGTATTCCTCTAAATAACTAACCTCTGCCCCTCTGAGGCTTCAGAGAGCTTTCATCATCACTGCAGGAAGATATTTCGCTAACACGAGGACTACTAGGGCTCCTATGCCTGCGTGCCTGGTCATAGTCAGCCTTTTTCTTGGGCACCTGTGGGTCTCCAGGAGCATCCTTCTCAAATTCAGTCTTCTCTCTGCCTTTCTTGCTAGCTTGTAGCTTCCTTTTATTCTTTTTCCTTACACTTAGATCAGCGCCCTCAAGTTGTGCACTTGGCCGTCTTCGGCCCATGGCACCATCCTTCTGGTGCTTGCCAATTTCCTTGTCCTTTTCTCGCCATTTGCTCGAATCATCTCTTGACCACCGTCTAACTCCCTTGGCAACTCTAGGATAGCTACTCGTTTCTCCCCCACTATTTGCTCTTTTCTTAGGACTTGTGAAGATAGCAGTACGACCATAGTCATCATAGATAATGACCTCAGAAGTTACAGATGAGATTTTCTTTGATTTTCTCCTCTCCTGGGTGAAATCTAGAGAAAAAGTAAACATTAAATGCACTTTATAGGGTTCTTTTATGTACACAATATCCAACAACTGCTGACACACTAATCCTCAAAGCGTAATCATGTGTTAATCTAACTAAATTGATCATCATGACAATTTACATTTGAGTCAATGTTTGAACACCTATGTTGCCCACATGGTTCTTAAAAACTGAATAGCCTCTCCTAGTTATGGGAAGTCATAGCTTACCTAATTTCCCACTTTCATATGACAGTGCCTGTCTAACCAACAGACCTTCTGGGCACAAGATTTTGATATTAATTTTACATGTGTGTGCATGTGCATGTGTATATGTATACAGTGAGAGTGTGTGTACTCACCTATTTGTGCTTGCAGGATCGAGCATTGACTCTTGGATTCCGCCTTTCCAACCATCAGTTGTTTACAGCAATGACTCCTGTCCCATTTCCCTACCATACCTAATTTTAAAAGTATAAAGAGAGTTTGCTTCCACAACCTGTTCCCCAATTGCATTCCATTTTTCCACTACTCTCACACTAAAAGAAAACTTCCTAACATCTCTGACTCATCTGGATTTCCAGTTTCCACCCATGTCCCCTCGTTCTGTTTTTATTACGTGTGAACATTTCATCTATTTCCACTTTGTCAATTCCCCCGAGTATTTTATATGTCCCTATCATATCTCCTCTCTCCCTTCTTTAGTGTTGTAAGGTTCAGAGACATTTGGTTAAATCTATGTATGTGGCTTATAACAAGGTGTTTTCACTAGAAATTTATGAAAACCAACTTTGCCTAAAACTAAATATTTGAACAAAATGCATTTGAAAAAATGTGAATATTCGACATACTGTATCTGACTATTATTACATAAGAGTGAAATCACTATACATAAATAATAATTATGGGCTGGAGAATTGGGCAGTATCATACCCAGTAATATTTATTTAATTAAAATATTAAGTGAGAATTTTTTGTTTATTTTATTTTTAGTCAAGAGTTTTCCTACAATGAAAAATAAAAGTTGAGGGGAATCTTCTTTACCATCTTAATGCATGGGCACAATTGGCAGTTAGTTGTGCCCAGATGCCCAGTGCTGCTATATTGTTAAGGAGATCTCTTGGCAGAGTGGATAATTACATCTTGTTGGAAAGGCCCATGATTCAAATTCCTTTTCATATTACATTTAATTTGAGTATAGCTATCAGATGGTAATTCTGCACTTTAGTGTATGCCCAGGGTCCATCATCTGGGTAGGGGGCCCCAGGGCATTGGCCTACAATGCTGTTAAGATGGCTCTGGGTAGCTTACACAAATTTCAACAACCAAACTCAGTAACGTTATAATTAAATTCTACGTTTCATTTTGTAAAATGTTCAAATTTTTAACTCGCATGCAAATAAGTTATTTTTCTGAACATTTTTATGAATTGTACATACAGTAGTAGTAAACCAGGACTGAGAGAATACCATGGGGGGAAGGGAATGATTGTACCCTGTTTACTGCTGTTAAGGAAGCATGCACATTATTCTAAAAGACCACCATTGTTACATTGCAATATGATTTGGATGCAGGCGATGAGTCACAATAACGTGGCTGAAGTATGTTGACCAGACCACACACTAGAAGGTGAAGGGACGACGACGTTTCAGTCCGTCCTGGACCATTCTCAAGTCGACAATCAACTTGAGAATGGTCCAGGACGGACCAAAACGTCATCGTCCCTTCACCTAGTGTGTGGTCTGGTCAACATGATTTGGATGGATTCACAGTGAATGGGGGCTCATGAATTCAGGCAGAGATTTAGCAATGGACCAGAGTATGCCATTCAGTTCAGAAATCCTGAAATATAATCCCTAACAATTGCAAATAAAATATTACATATATTAAAAGAATAAAGATCTTTAAAATTATCATGTTATTTTAATTTGGCACTGGCTACTTATAACTTTCAGATGTACCCTGTTCTCATTAGAATTGTGTGGCTTTTGAGCTTGAACTCTGGGTTTGGGTTTCCTGCCTTCTCCCCCCCCCCCTCACCCCCTCCATGGGCGAGCACATTCAATTTTGTTCCTTTATTAACCCCATCAAGAGTAGGATTGGTCTAACCACTTGTCGGCAATATGCACAATTTGCCCTCAACATGTGGTTAGCATTTAGTAATTATATTTACTCTTGACTGGTTTGTATACCAGTGATAATATTGTTTTAATTATATATATTATTATATGTAATGGAAGTTACCAAAACATTACAAAATTCTATACACTAATTGTATAACTGCTTACTGTAAGGCAAGTTATTGTGTAATTACCCAAGTGTAGTTACAGGATGAGAGCTACGCTCGTGGTGTCCCGTCTTCCCGCACTCGTCATGTAACGCTTTGAAATTACTGACGGTTTTGGCCTTCACCACCACCTCACCTAACTTGTTCCAACTGTCTACCACTCTGTTTGCAAAAGTGAATTTTCTTACATTTCTTCAACAGCTTTGTTTAGTTAGTTTAAATCTATAACTTTTTTGATCTTGAAGTTCCAGGTCTCAGGAATTCTTCCATATCAATTTTATTGAATCCCATTACTATTTTGTATGTAGTGATCATATCACCTCTTTTAGTTTTGAAATATTTAATGCCTTTAACCTCTCCTCGTAGCTCTTGTCCTTCAGTTCTGGGACCCATTTAGTTGCATGTCTTTGCACTTAACCAGTTTGTTTAGGTTCTTCTTAAGATATGGGCACCATACAACCATTGCACATACCAGCTCTGGTCTAAAAAGTCATAAACAATTTCTTTAGCATTTTGCCATCCATGTATTTAAAAGCAGTTCTGAAGTTAAAAAGTGTAACAGGCTCCTCACATGAAGTTCTTTATGTGATCCTCAGGTAATACTTTTCTATCTAGCACCATCGATCTAGAACTTACATCTTTATCAGAATTCTTTAAAGATTTCTCACATAATTTATAGGTTTTGAAATTGAACCAAGTTTATTGAGGTAAAATACACACAAAGGGATGAGGTAGATCAAGCTATTCTCACCCCGTTGTAGGTAGTGTGGGGTCTATGTTTTTCTATTCCACATTCTATACCATGGAATTTATTCACATTAAATTCCATTTGCCAAGTGGTTTTCCAAACACTTATTTTGTCCAGGCCTTCTTGAAGGGCTTGACAATCATCTAAGTTTCTTATCTTCCTTATTATCTTATCATCATCAGCAAACATGTTGAACAAACATCAGCAAACTGAACTGCAGCAAAAAGTGGGTTGCAACAAACTTCTTTGAAAATAGTTTTACACGCAATGTGTACATCTTACATTGAAAACCAAAAACAGTCCAGTCCTGCACTCACAGGTTTTTGTCAATTATGTGTACATAAATAAAGTTATTTAACACGAACCCATCCAAGTCCGCATTAATATTGCTTTGATCCCGCTTGCCAATCAAGCTTCCATCTATAGCTCTCAAAAGTGTCCCGGTTGTACAGTAGAGTTCATTCGACTCAAATTCTTCTAATTCTGTTTGAATTCCGAAAATTCCAGGTTTGAATTCTGAGAATTCCAGGTTTTATTCCGGGCAGGACAGAAATGGTTAGGGGCATTTCTTATTCCCTAAGGGCCCTGTCCACCAAGCAATAATAGGTACCCAGGAGTTAGATTGTGGGGGTTGCATCCTACGGAGGGTCAGTAATTCGACCCTGAGGGGATCTCGATATAAGCCTAACATGTACTGTATGTATAAACTGGCTGCCTGTCCCCGACAACGAATTATTAATTATTATTATCAAAATCAGATAGGAATTGTTCATACAGTGAGTCCTTGCCCAAATTAATTCTTGGATGATGTGAACAGTGTTTGGTTCAAGATAAAATTAGACATTCCTTCAAGAAGTGCCATACCAACCAAACTAAAGTAGATAAGCAGGTCTGCAGGCCACTCCAAGTAACGGCCCGTTGGACAAGTTATTACACGAAGCATAGCCCCAAGCCAGGCTTGGGGAACAGAACTTTAGGAACCCACTTCAGGTATGATCCAGGTTAAGTGGAATCACAGGGTAATGTCACATGAAGATTCAAAAACTATTATTGTCTGGGTTCTATATGTATGATGCAAATAAGGATTAAATAGTTCTATATGGATGTAATGTAGAATACATTCACCCATGAAAAAACTCCTGTGGTTACGTCTAATAGATGAATGCTGTTATCGTCACACCACGATTTAAACTCTTGTCTGGGTTTTTACGTGTATGATTCAAACATGGATATAACAGACCTGCAGGTGCAACTAAAGGAAAACAAGTGATAAACAATCAGTGAAACATCCGAGGATAACACAGGAAGTGTCCGCAAAGTCGAGCACCTGGTTTTTTTTTTATTATATTTTCTACCACAGACATGGCCTCACGTTTATGATGCTAATTAGTATACAGCACTGTATATACATTTTATTCTGTCCTCAATGGACAAGGTTAGAGATCTGTTAAACATATAGTTTAGTGATTTATTGAACTATCAAGCACAGGTGATTGTAATGCTTTGACAGGTGCCAAACACTGCCACTGTGCACCCTTCCAGAGTACCTCCACTCAGTGAAATAATAAATATTCACTTATTAGCCTGTTTTTTCTTAAATTTTGCATACAAATTAGTAAGTCTATACTATAAAGTTTCTTTATTTTTATTTATGACTTATTTATGACAATTTCCCCATAGCCGCTGTCCAAATGTTAAAACTACATATGCTAAGCATTAATATTTTTAATTGCTCATGGTACTGTACTACTGTATTACCAACTATTATATTTATCAAGTCAAATAGTGAAACAAAATGTATAAAATGGAAGAAATGTGTGATTTCACCTGAATCTGTCAGAAAAATCAGTGAGAAATTAGTATTGTGTACAAGCTGCTCTAATACTCCTAATGTTGGAAACAGGAAGCCTAGTACAGTACAGTACAGGTGTTGATCAAGGTCCTCCTAGGCCAGCTACCGACCTTCCTCAGGATACAACCCACAACAGTTGTTTAACTCTGTTGTACCCATTTTACTGCTAGATGAACAGAGGCATCAAGTGAAAGGAAATATGCCTAGTCATTCATGCACTGCTCAAGGATTAAACCCAGGTTCCTCGGTTGAGAGCTGAGGACGTACAGAATCTTCATTTCATGCAACAAATACAGGGATGTATAAATGCACTAGGTACAATAGCCCGGGGCAGGGAACAAGCTAATACACAGCCTATCATGTGTTGGGTCAAGTTACATGAAAGTATGCATACAGTCACATGATACATATTGTTGTAATCCACAAGTTAGGAGTGAATATTAGCTAGTGAGTCAAGCACAACTCTTAACAAATGATGGGCAAAAGTACATGTTAAATATTCAGACTGGTCACACGCATCAAGGTCAAAGGGATTAAGACAGCCGTTGCCCACCCAAATGACTATCAGCCAAGAGGACAAAGGGTGACCTAGTTTTCGAGAACAAGGAGATTTACAGTTAATTGGATTATACCCTCCTTGGGATGCAGGTTGTAAGGTTTGAAGCTATGACCGGCTGGAGAAGTCTTGTGGTAGCAGCGGACCTAACGAGTTCTCCTTATCTCCGCCCGTGGCAACAATGAAGTGAAACTGACCAAATGTGATCTTGGTGATCAAGTCGAGTCTGCAGTACATGAGTATTGTATGGAAGACTAACCGGGTGTGGAGAGTTGTAGTGATGATTCGGTATTAGGGACTTAGGCAGAGGTCAAAAGTTCAGGTGGTGACCAGGAAGGTAATGTGGGTTTATTTATATGAGAAACTGATTTAACCAGAGAAAGTTGGTTAAGGTGTTAATTATTATCAGAATTATTATCAGAGTATATTTATGTAATTAAATTGGAAAAATCTGACTGCCTTTTAATCACCTTCCATATGTTCTTTCATCAAGTTCCTGTATTAACGTAGTAATATGCCTCAAGGGTTCTGGTGAAGAGAATTACGGGGTGGAAGTAACTTCCTGAGGCAAGGGAGTTATAGTGGTGTAATCTTTGTGTTCGGAATGAACCCGGGTTCAGCGATCACAAGTGTTACTGAAACACGTTTTGTACTTGTCCATGTACAGTGTGTCCCAGAATTACCTATATTTCTATGAAATTGGATTTTTTTTTTTTAAACTCATTGACATTCATCATTTAATGTGTTAAAATGAAAAAATTTCTGAATTATTTCAATCTCTTCAGAAACGTAACCCTAGTAATGAATATATAAGCTTGCACCTTTGTGGCGACATACTGTATAATATGACTGCGGGATAATGAAGTCGGAGAGACTCGCGGGGAAATTTTACAGAATTGGTCCTACAGATAAAGTGATTCATTAACTTGTAAACAAATTTAAAAGAAACAGATCCTTATATGACGACATGGGAAGAGGATGCCCAAGGACAGAGCACGGCGGTACCGAAGGAATACAACAACTGTTTGAGCACGAACCAACAACATCGGTTAGGGAAGCCAGTCTAGGACACGTGTGTGACATTGATAAAAAAAACAATACATCCAGGTATTGCATGCTGTAAATGAAGACCATTATCCAAACTAAGCAGGAACGTGTACATAATTTGTAGATCACATAAATAATGAAGGTTTATTTGCAGTGTACAACTCCTCACATAATTTTTTTTTTTTTTTTTTTTTTTGTAACAAAGTTAGACATGAAATATGCAGAGAAACAGAGCACATGTTGAAAGTTCTCAATCAAGATTTTATTACACATTTTTTTGTATCATGATAAAAACACGAAATTATGTAGTTTTGAAGAGATTCGTTGGATTTCGTAGACAAACAGCTAATTCTGGCCCACCCTATATAACTGCCAAATTCCAGTACGATACATGAACATAATAGCCACACATTCAACCAAGGTACACTAACAACGGGTGTATATGTATGTATATATATATGTGGCCCAGTACATAGAGGTGAAGGCGCAGCAGAGACGCGTACTGTCCTTGAACAAGTGAAGGATATATAACAAGAGGTCACCAAGCCACCACCACCACCCCCGGGGTTAGCTCATGCCCACACAAGTGTGTTAGCCCGCCTCCTCACCTGGCGGGTAGGAGAAGTGTTGAGGGTAGTTGTGAGAGTGGTGAGGAGCGGGAGAGTGAGGAGAGAAGGAGGAGGAGGAGCAGCAACTTGTCTCACCACCATCGTCACTACCTCCTTCGTCGTCGTCGTCTTCTTCACTTATCTCTCCTTCCTCGTGTTCGCTCTCCGCGGCAGCCGTCTCCTCGCTCTTGGGCAGCACCTCCAGCACCTGCACCTCGTTCTCCATGGCGTGACGGGCGGGTGGTGGACGAGGCAGGAGAGCTGGGTTAAGATAGGCAGCAGCAGGAGCAGCGTGTGGTGGTGGCGGCCATGATGCGTCTGGTGAGTGGTGACGGCGCACACCGACTGCGCACACTTCTACACATTTCTTTCACTCCCTCTCATATATCTTTAATAATTTTCTAACTAGCGTCAAAAATTATTATTGCTTAGCTAAACGAACTAGAGGGTTCAGTTCCTGAACCGATTATGTGCCTCTGTAATATCATTTCCACCACCCCCCACGGGATGGGTATGGGGTGCATAATAAAGAAAGAAATTGAATTCATATATATCTCCACACATTTGTACACTCTCGCTCCACACTATATTATTGGCTGGTCTATTACAACCTCTACTGTCTTTGTAAATTATAGTAATAATTTGCAGTTCAACTGTGATATAAATATTAGATAAGGTAGAAGATATTTTTCACAGGAAACGGGGGCTCGCTAATATACTTTACTTAAATATGTATTATACTTCATTCCCTTCCGGAGACTATTCTTTAATCGTAAGTTGGATATTATTGAGCCATAATAAACATACATGTTGGAAACTTAATAAACATAAAGTGATAAACATAACATCATCGTCCATGAATTCCACATCCGCTCGAGGAATTCCCATTACAAAGTTATATTTCTTTGTTCTGATTTACTCAACAAAGACATAATAAACCACATATATATACATGGTTTAGGTTTCATAAAATATATTAATTCTTATAGCACTAATAATACATTATTATGATGAGTTGTATATTTATCTGCTCGCTGGCATAAAGGGGGTGAGTGTACGCACTTAACGTTATCAAAGACAGGAAGCCCAAGGACAGGAAGTCTTACTGAGCTAGGCTAGGGGACCTCAGTAAGACGGTTGCCTTCATGACATGTATTAATTTTATTTATTTATTCGAGAGTTCTTACATTCTTGTTCAGCCACTAACGCGCATAACGTTTCGGGCAAGTCTTTAATCCTAATTTTCACACACAAATAAACTCATTTCAATTTCACACACACATCCCCAGGAAGCAGCCCATAGCAGCTGTCTAATTCCCAGGTACCTATTTACTGAGAGGTGGACAGGAGCATCAGGGTAAAACAAACTCTACCCATTTGTTTCCGCCTTCCGCCGGGATCGAACCCGGATCCTTAGGACTATGAACCCCGAGTGCTGTTCATTTAGCCGTCAGGCCCCCGATCTAAATCTCAATACAGAATACTATTCTTGTCAATCCTGATCTGAAACTCTTCCTTGACAGATGTAACAAAACCAGTAATCACCACACCAGAAATAAATATATCTGATATCCCCAGAGTCAAACTAAATCTGTATAAACAGATTTAAATCTCTATGCAGATAAAGAGACCTTTGATTTAAGATACTTGCCAGATTCCTTCTTTTCTGAAAATACACTTGTGGTAGGGGATTTTAATGCCAGACATCCAGCTTTAGGATCAAGGGGTAAAGCAAATAGAAATGGTTGCAGATGGTACCAGTTTTTGCAGAAACATGAAGATGTTCAACTGCTGGGCGAGCCTTCTCCTATACTCATCTGAGGGGAGGGAGATTAGATTATGCTTGTTTGATAAATGCTGAGGGCATAGAGAGGAATTGTCTTACTGTGGATAAAATGCTAAGTGATCATTTTGCATTACAAATACAGCTTAAACGAGATAAAAAGCATGCCTGCCTTCAGAGGAAAAGGTTAGAGTTTAATGAGGGAGAATTAAGGGATCTTGTTGGTCATATTAAGTCTTGGTATGATACTTATAAGCCAGTTTCGGCAGAAGCATTTTATGAAGATCTAATTAAGGAGGTAGATGTATTTAATGCAACATTGAACAGGAAAACATCTAGCATAAAAAAGCATCCCCCCAGAAAAGAAAATTATACACATGACAAGATGCTTAAGGAGTGGACATTAACAATGAGGAGAGCTCACAGGGATTTGAATAGGAATGGTAGGGCTGAGGAAGAGAAGAATGATTTACTGACAGTTGCTAGGCTGTGTGGGGAGAAGAGAAAGAAAATTAGGAGCAAGTATTGGCAGGAGTTTGCAGAGAAAGTTGGGAGTAACAGAAACTTGAAGGAAATCTGGCAAGACGTAAATAAAGTAAGGGGTAAAAAGCATAATTTTGTTGCACATCCAGACCCGCAAGGAATTGTAAATGGTCTCGTAAATAAATTGGCGGAAGCTGCCAAACTTAGTTCATTACCCGCTGTAACGAGAGAGTCATTAGATTCTTGGAAAGATCTAAGAAAGGATTTTATACTTACAGCAGGTAACAGTAGTGATGTCACTTGCACAGGTATTACCAGAGAAGAACTAATAAAGGCGATTAAAGTTGGGAAATCTACCGCACCTGAGGAGGATGGAGTAACTTATGAAATACTTAATGAACTTGCCATTATGACGAAAAGCCCACTTTTAGACCTCTTTAATATTAGTTATAAAGAGGGCAGTATTCCCAGTAAATGGAAAAAAGCTATGATCATCCCTATCCCTAAAGCCAATGGAGAGTACAGTCCTATGTCTTTAACCTCGTGTTTTTGTAAAATGATGGAGAGGATCATTATAAATAGACTTTTATATATAATAGGTGATTAGCTGTCTAGTAATTTGTGCGGGTTTCTCAGAGGCAAAGGTACCTCTGATTGTATTATTAAATGTCTAGCTAATGATAATGATTATTATAGAATTTTTATTGATTTACAAGGAGCATTTGATAAAGCCAATAAAGAGGCTATTTTTTATGAATTAGCTGGTCTTGGTGTTAAAGGAAGATTATTGCGCTGGATAAGGGATTATCTTTACGAAAGGAAGGCTCAGGTGTGGTATCAAGGTTGTATGTCAGGTGTGAGGCCTTTTGAACTCGTCACACCTCAGGGAGGAGTGTTGAGTCCCACTCTGTTTAATGTACTAATGAATAAGATATCATCTGAGAGATACTTAAATGGGGTAACTCCGATCATATATGCCGATGATATTTTGTTTCAGGGCAAAGATATTTCAAAGGTTCAAACAGTGTTGGATAATTTCGGAAACCTGTGTCACCATATGGGACTGGTGGTTAATGAAGTCAAAACTAAGTTTGAATGTAGAAGTCGGAGGCCCATTATATTGAAAATAAACGGTAAAAACATAGAGAGAGTTAATATATATAAATATTTATATATGTTGGATATACCCATGAGAGTTTGGAAGCCGAGATGAACAGACTGTTGGGTCAATGTCGGAAGAGATTACAACCTCTGAAGGCCTTGGCATGCTGTGGAAAGGGAGTGGGAGTCCCTGTGCTACGAATGATATACTTAAGTACTGTAAGATCTCTTATTGATTATGCTGCACCAGTCGTTTCTTGTTTTGGTAAAGGTAAGATGGGCAAGTTGGAGAAGGTACAAAATGAAGCCGTGAGAATTATCTTAGGACGCCCAAGAAATGGTATGGTTGAGATAATGAGGATGGAGTTGAATCTGCAGGGTATTGAGGATAGAATTTCAGAGATAAATGTAGCCTTTGCCATTAGATTAATAAGAGGTAGGGGAGCTAATAAATTAATCCTCTCGGTTCAAAAAGTGTGAAGTAATGAACAATGTATGATAAAGAGGAGAGCATATATGAGTACCTTATGTTCTAATGTTATAAAGTATGATGTTACTACAGAGTGTATTGCTTTGCCTAAGAGACAATTCCCACCACCATGGAAGGATTGTAATGTAGATGTAATTATTCCCTTGCAAAAGAAAAAAAAAGTAAGCATGAAATAGGAGAGCTGAGGGCAACATATGATTGTATAATTAGAAAATTACGTACAGAAAACACTACATGTATAGTATATTGTGATGGGTCAGTAACCACGGATGGGAAGGCAGGATGTGGAGTCTTGATCAGGGAGTACACTGACATCGGCACTGTAGATACTGTTATAATGGTATGATAAACAGTATACTTAGGAGCTACAAGAATTTTGCCCCAAGAGTGTAACACTTATATGCGGTGCTTACTATATTTGCAGTACCACCTGCAATGCTAAATGGGATTCTTGTATTGTGATTTGTATATTTGTACTCACTGAATTTGTGCGCCCTTTGAGGGACTTCATGCAAGTAGGGTTGGGTAGAAATAGCCTAAGCTACTCTATCCCTTTGAGATGTATTTCTTTCTTGTCTCAATAAACATACTTGAACTTGAACCCTCAAATTTTGTACATACTACTTTTCGTCAAATTTTCTTACAATGTACCCGTTAACATTTCTCAGTTTTGATACAAATTACCTACTAAAAATTATCTGTTAGATTAAGGACCTGCCCGAAACGCTATGCGTGCTAGTGGCTTTACAAGAATGTAAATACGTATCTTCTTGTATATAAATAAATAAATAAAAAAATAAATGAAGGCAACAATTAACAACGTCTATGCCCGTACCTTGTCAAGCACAAAACAAAGCTGGAAAAAAAGGAGTTACTAGCCTAGTTCTGGGACTAGGCTAGTCCCAGAACTAAGAGGCATGAGTTACGAGGAAAGGCTGCTTGAAGCCGTGAACTGCGCCTCACGTCGCTGGAAGAAAGGAGAGCTAGGGGAGACATGATTACCACATACAATTTATGGAATTGACAGTATAAACAAGGAAGGATTATTTTAACACCCGTGGTACACGCACAAGGGGACACAGGTGGAAGCTGAGTGCCCAAATGAGCCACAGAGACATTAGAAAGAACTTTTTCAGTGTCAGAGTAGTTACTAAATGGAATGCACTAGGAAGTGATGTGGTGGAGGCTGACTCCATATAAGATATGATGGAGCTTGAGAAGCTCCATGCCACACTTGGTCCGGGAGACATCTCCCGTCACGCAGGGTGCAGTTGCGCCTCCACAGATCTCCAATATCATCTTTTGATACTGGTAATGGCTCGAAAAGGCCACCACTTACGGGCTATTCATGCCCGTGCCACCTCTTGGGTGGCTTAATCTTCATCAATCAATCAATTGAGAAGCTCACACGGGAGACATCTCCAGTCACGCAGGGTGCAGTCGCACCTCCATAGATCTCCAGTATCAGCTCTTGATACTGGTATTGGCTCAAAAGGCACACCATCTGGTCACCATTTGGTCCGGGAGACATCTCCCGTCACGCAGGGTGCAGTCGTTGGGTGGCTTCATCTTCATCTTAACACATTCACAAGGGAGACATCTCCCGTCATGCAGGGTGCATTCGCACCTCCACAGATCTCCAGTATCAGCTCTTGATACTGGTAATGGCTTAAAATGGCCACCACTTACGGGCTATTTATGCCCGTGCCACCTTTTGGGTTGCTTCATCTTCATCTCAACACATTCACAAGGGAGACATCTCCCGTCATGCAAGGTGCATTCGCACCTCCACAGATCTCCAGTATCAGCTCTTGATACTGGTAATGGCTTAAAATGGCCACCACTTACGGGCTATTTATGCCCGTGCCACCTTTTGGGTTGCTTCATCTTCATCTTAACACATTCATAAGGGAGACATCTCCCGTCATGCAGGGTGCATTCGCACCTCCACAGATCTCCAGTATCAGCTCTTGATACTGGTAATGGCTCAAAAGGGCCACCACTTACGGGCTATTTATGCCCGTGCCTCATCTTCATCTTAACACATTCACAAGGGAGACATCTCCCGTCATGCAAGGTGCATTCGCACCTCCACAGATCTCCAGTATCAGCTCTTGATACTGGTAATGGCTTAAAATGGCCACCACTTACGGGCTATTTATGCCCGTGCCACCTTTTGGGTTGCTTCATCTTCATCTCAACACATTCACAAGGGAGACATCTCCCGTCATGCAAGGTGCATTCGCACCTCCACAGATCTCCAGTATCAGCTCTTGATACTGGTAATGGCTTAAAATGGCCACCACTTACGGGCTATTTATGCCCGTGCCACCTTTTGGGTTGCTTCATCTTCATCTTAACACATTCATAAGGGAGACATCTCCCGTCATGCAGGGTGCATTCGCACCTCCACAGATCTCCAGTATCAGCTCCTGATACTGGTAATGGCTTAAAAAGAACCACCACTTACGGGCTATTCATGCCCGTGCCACCTTTTGGGTGGCTTAATCTTCATCAATCATCAATCGGCTCAAAAGGGCCGCCACTTACGGGCTATTCATGCCCGTGCCACCTTTTAGGTGGCTTAATCTTTATCAATCAATCGAGAAGCTCAGCACCATTTGGTCACCATTTGGTCCGGGAGACATCTCCCGTCACGCAGGGTGCAGTTGCGCCTCCACAGATCTCCAGTATCATCTTTTGATACTGGTAATGGCTCGAAAGGGCCCCCACTTACGGGCTATTCATGCCCGTGCCACCTCTTGGGTGGCTTAATCTTCATCAATCAATCAATCGAGAAGCTCAGGAATCTGTACACCAGTAGAGTGACGGTTGAGAGGCGGGACCAAAGAGCCAAAGCTCAACCCCCGCAAGCACAACTAGGTGAGTACGCTATTGAGGCAGGTATTTTCTCGCCGTGACTTCATGTATGACTAACCATCCTGTGAGATGGTTAGTCATACATGGGATATTAGATGAACTTACAGCTAGTTTTTGATCTATACTGTGTAATCTTTCATATATAATAGGATAGCAGCACATTGCTGTGTATACCTATGCTTGTTAATAATAATAAAAAAACTTTGTATACCTAAGTCAATCACATTCTTCAACTACTCACACACGCCACAGACGAGACACACGCGCCCAGATATAATACACAACTAGCTATTACATTTTTTAAATAAATATTATAAGCTCTTTTTGTACCATTGCATTTTAATTAATTTAATGAAAAGAAATTATCATTTATTATTATTATAAAAGGGGAAAAATAATAAGACTCGTGCTGCGGCAACATTCTGAATGATGTTGCCGTCGCTGCGAGGTCAGTCAGGTTAAACAACAATTAAGGTTAAGTACCACGTGGGGCAAGGCTGTGGTCACCAATTCAGCTACTGGCCACGTGGTACTTAACCTTAATTGTTATTTAACCTGACTGACCATTCAGAAAGTTGCCGCAACACGAGCCTTATTATTTTCCCTCTTTATAATAATAATAATAAATGATAACTCCTTCTCATTATATTAATTAAAATGCAATGGTACAAAAAAGAGACTATAATATTTATTGAAAAAATGTAATAACTAGTTGTGTATTAAATTTGGGCTCGTTTCTCTCGTGTGTGAGTCTTGAAGACTGTTGTTGACATCTTAGGCCTTAGGCGTAGACGTTGTTAAGTGTGGCCTTGATGGGGTCACGCTGTCGACACGTGGTGCTGACGGGACCCCCAGGTAGTGTGGCGGCTTGTCAGTGACCCCAGGGAGAGTGACGTGACGTATGTGACCCCTAGGTAGAGTGACATGTGACCCCTAGGTAGAGTGACATGACATGTGACCCCCAGGTAGAGTGAATGTGTGACCCCCAGGTAGTGTGACATGCCATGTGACCCCCAGGTAGAGTGAATGTGTGTGACCCCAGGTAGAGTGATATGACATGCGACCCGCAGGTAGAGTGACATGACATGCGACCCCAGTAGAGTGACATGACATGCGACCCGCAGGTAGAGTGACATGACATGCGACCCCCAGGGAGAGTGATATGACATGCGACCCCCAGGGAGAGTGACAAGGCATTATGACTCCCAGATTGTGACATGACCCCAGGTAGTGTGACATGACATGTATGACCCCAGGTAGGATGACATATGACTCCAAATAGTGACATGACATGACATTATGACCCCATGCAGAGTGACATGTATAACCCCAGGCAGTGACATGTGACCCTTCAGGTAGTATGGCATGACATGTAACCCCTAATTGAGTGACATGTGACATAGAACTTTAAGCCCGCTAACTAAACAAATTACTGCATAACTAAATTACAAAATAACAATCACTTTCATAAACTAATTTGGCACTTTCTCCTGATAGTTTCCGTCCTTTCATAAACTAATTATAATAATTATAAAATGCAATAAGACAACAGTTGCCTAATTCCTGGGTACCTATTTACTGCTAGGTGAACAGAGGCATCAGGTGAAAGCAAATGTGCCCAACCATTTCTGTCCCACCTGGGGATTGAACCTGGGATCCTCAATTGTGAACCAAGAATGTAGCCACCGTACTATTAACTGCTGAAGCTACACAAAGAAAGTGCTTCGGTTAAAAATACACTACAGCTGGAAATTTTGGCGGAAAAATGTGGGATATCTTTCAGAATCCACAGGCTTCCTATTCCCTTAGATCTCTAGAGGTGATAGTCTTTGGCTATATTCAGATACTGTACTGTAAATATTTTTGGAATACTTTTTTTTTTTTTGTGAGTGTTCAACCTTCACTACAAAAAATGCTAATACTGTGTATTATTCATACTCATTTTATCTTGTACCTGTATTTGCAGGTGTAGGGAAGACGACCTTGGTTCGGAAGATTGTGTCGGATCTGCAGGCAGCTGGGATAACCTGTGAAGGATTTTATACACAAGAATTACGGCAGGGAGGGAAGCGTGTCGGCTTTGATGTTGTCACTCTGAATGGCAAGACAGGTGTATTGGCCAGAGCCAAGTAAGCAGTATTTACAGTTACTTAATGAAATATTGTGTTGCATCTTGATCTATTTTTAATTCAAACATCTCTTCAGATAATTTATGTAATCAGTCATTGTAGCTTGGTGAATAGTGGTTTTGATTTCCAGGCTATTATAGTTATATAGTACAGTAATTCTAATGCTAGGTAGAAAATGGGGGATGTTTCTGGTTAAGGTTAGTTATGTTGCAGTATTGCCAAACAAAACTACAGTACTCCTGCTTGTATAGTATACATTTTTCCCCTCATAAAATTGTTATTTAGCATGATAAATATTCACCTTTTTTAAAAGTTTCAGTAAAGGATGGTTGCATCTTGATGAAACAAACATATGGAGGGTGATGGTGGGTGCAAGATTGTCACTTAAGAAGTTGCAGCAGTTATTTTCAGCTGTGGCCATACTCTTCCTCTTTGCATGTCTATTTGCAGACTCTTCATCAACTCTTTTTGTAGTGGGCCTAGTGATGGCATGAGGGTAACATTTGCGTTTGGCTTATTGCAAACCTTGGGCAAGGAATACATGGGCTTCTGATCTCTACACCCTCTTAAACCATGAAATACCTAGTTCATCAGTGATCAATGTGACTGTAATTTCCTGTACTCTTCCAATCGCCATCCCGTTGTACACTGTTCACTACACTGTCAAACTGATGCCTCTATATTTCTTATATTCACTATGTTCACCTTTATTTTGATTGTGGTACGTACAATCAAAATAAAGGTGAACATAGTGAACACATTTCCCATCCTGACAAATTATCAATATTCCATGTCTTCTGGTAAATCCTCCACATGTGCTCCATTCCTTGTGTGTCTTATGTTTAATGTGTATATGTTGTTATTATCAAAGGAATCGGTTACTTTTCATGGATGGTAGTTAATTAAATATCTTTAATTTATTTATTTATTTATATACAAGAAGGTACATAGGGGGTTAAGGGAGTACATAGCAATGAAGATTTTACATTCTTGTAAAGCCACTAGCACGTATAGCATTTCGATAGATGCTGTAACTTGAGTGTATTTCATAAAAGCGAGTTTCTACCTGTTTATCTATTAACCTGTCTATCCAAACGCCAACTGTTCATTGTCACACCATCTTTGGTTGTATTCAGACAGTTTTTCATTAAACATTTTGATTGCAGACCAGACAGCGGCAACAGGCGAGAACACCGTGTGGGGCAATACGTTGTTGATCTTCCTGCTTTTGAGTCTCTCGCGCTCCCTCTACTTCAGACTCGGGTATGGTGTGCAGTGTATGATTCCCCATTTATTATTACCTTTTTGTTGTTACATAAACATAGCAATATACTGTACAATAATTGTGGTGTCTTGATGATTTATCATAAATATATTTATGGGCTCATCAGTTTCCCGTTAGTACAGTAGAGTTGGTTCTCGACACACCGGGTTTGAATCCCGGGCGGGACAGAAATGGTTGGGCACATTTACTTTTACCTAATGCTTCTGTTTACCTAGCAGTGAGTAGGTAATCATGAGTTAGCTTGTTGTAGGGTTGCATTCTAGGCGGGGTCAGTAATTCAACCTTGGGGTGAGGGTGTACCGGGTTAAAATCCAGATGTGTGTGAATACACTCTGGCTTTGTGTTCCCCGACACAATGAATTAATTATTTAAAGCTTCCAGAGGTTTCAGTGGCCTTTTGGAATCTATATGAAGAGCATGTTGAGGTTAGAACTTCCAGGGCACTTGGCCTGTTCTCCAGTAAATTTTACTTTTGCAAAGTTCTAGGGAAAACTTTTTTAATTTGATTATCATTTGTTGCAATAATATATGATGTAGAAGAAAGCAATGTTACCAATATTAGTAACCTTTACCAAAGGGTATGAGTGTTGTATGACTAAGGAAAATGTATATTAAATAGTATACTGTATAGTATACCCTGGTTGATAGCAGACAAGGAATACCCCCAACCACAGGGTGGTTTCCAGAGGCCATTTCTCCCTTGTCTCTCTGAGAGGGGCCAGGTTCTGGCTCGTGGTCCCCAGTACGCTGAACTCCATTGACTTAATGCCCTAGGCTAATACTGTATATCGCATATTTGTTCAATAGCTCCAGGAAACCTCCGGGACTCTTCCAGAAAACAGCATTTCATTACATTCAACGCTGTTTTTTTATGAATATGTTATAATGTACCTTGTGCAGTAATGTGATTTTTTAGGGTACCAGTCCTCATATCATGGTGTTGGATGAGATTGGAAAGATGGAGATGTTCAGCCAAGGATTTGTGCGCGGAGTACGTCACGTTATGTCGCAACCAAACCTGACGCTCCTCACCACTATTCCCATTCCAAAAGGCAAACCAATTCCACTCGTTGAAGAAATTCGAAACCACCCAGATGTTCTTCTAGTAAATGTGAGTTTATAGCTTCTTTTATGGCAATAATTATGAAATTTCTGTTTTTCTTCTGAGACCCATCAGTACAGGTACAGTAAAGGCAGAGGCATTGCGGTATACCAGCAGTGCAAAACATCGTATTTAATATCATTCATACATTCATTGCATCAACCACATTATATAGGATCATTGATAAACAAGCACCACCACTCTTCAGAATAATACATATAATATGCTCTAATTAGAAGTATAAAAAAGAGGTTTTGGACGTAAAGCAGCCCCTTACTATTTATGGGGAATATGTTTGGATAAAACACACGAATGCTACCACAGCACTGCTACCATTATCCACAGCACTGCTACCATTAGCCATAGCACTGCTAAAACAACAAACAGATTCCTGGTTACTAAACCTGGAAAATGAGTCATCTTCCACATGCTCAGGGCCTAAAGGAACAGGTATGTTGCACAGACCTACATGGTACTTCTCATGGTGAGAGTGGTGGTATGGAGTCGGGCTGCAGTGGTGATGGTGTACACCTCACCCTGGGGACACACGCATGCATTAACATCACTGTATCACATCATTCTGAGTCTTGAGCATAATCTTTATCTTTGTCAGAATCATCAAAGTCACTTTCCTACTTTGCTGAAAACAGTTTATCCTGAATTTCTTCATCTATAAGTAATTCTGTGAAATGAGCCACAGTGTGGCATTGTGAGATGGAGGATCGAGCACCAGCAATGGTTACTTGATAAAAACCGAGGTATTTCTGCCAATTCTGCCTACTCAGGATTTTTTAAAGATGGCAGCCGTTTACTTTTGTTCCTGACCAGCGACTGGTTGCCCCGTTTACACTGCAGGTCTCGTATATCTTCCACGTTCTTTAACACATCCCACATTTTCTTGTGCAGTGGGGTCTGAAATGGTGAGAGCATCCCTCATTGTTATGTGCATTTGAAGGGTTAAATAATTCCTTTTTGTGACAATTGATATCTGCACAAACTCTTGATGTCCTTTATTGCTTGGCTGTTCCCTGTGCATAGGTTCATGCCTGATGTCATTGCTTCTTATAGCTTGGCTTTGTTACCTTATTTGCCTAGGTTTCAGTCATGACCAGTCATTCTTTCATGTATCTTGGTATGTATTTTATTTTTCTCATATTTACCTATCCTACACTCCCTTCGCACCTGCCTTGTCACTGGATAGAGTTCTAGATTTCCTGACAGCGAAGAGGTTTCGAATCTTATTGTTTTGGGACCTGTCTCTTAATCCCTCTCCCCCCCCTCCCCCTCACTGTATCCACCCAGAGTCTTCCAAATCCAGATACCACACCAGGTTCTGTAAATCAGCAGCACCTACTAGTAACCACTACAAGAATCTGTTTTATCCACATGTACCGTAAATTGCAATTCATAATCTCTCGTATCTTTCACCCTTGCCTCACTGACCCCAACCCACTTGTTAATACTAGTGTTAAATACTATATCTGTGCCGTTGCTCAAACTACAGATGCTATAATGTAGTAGTCTGCGCCTGTCATCATTAAGTAACACCTTTATATTGTATATCATTTGCTAAATTTCCTAAACATCTCTCATGTGTTAGCTTACTTCACATTTAATAGGTATAGTAAGTATAATGTTTCCATTATACAGCACCTATAAATTTGGTTTTAGTTATTCTAAATTTTGCCCAAAACACTTTGCATATTAGTGGCTTTATTTAATTTGCAGCCCCATGTATGTACTGTCAAATATACCTCTATATTATGTTCATATAAGTACAATATATGCATTTTTTGTGAGTAAAATATTATTATTATTATAGTTGGGGGAATAGAAAGCCTGTTAAGCTTAATGACACCTGCCCTAGGCCAACTGTTGCTCAAATTTGGATGCAACCCATAAAAATTGCCTAAAACCTGGGTACCAATTTACTGATAGGTGAACAGAGGCATCAGTTGAAAGGTAACATTGGCCAAATGCTTCTGTCTAGTGACAGAAATTTAATCCGGGACCTCTTGTCTGTGACCTGATTACTCCTCACATTTTACTGTGACCTTTTCTTATTACTGTCTTGAGTGAATAAGATCAAAATACTGTACATAGCTGCAGATAAAGACAGGATTCTTGTTTATTATTTTTTCATATTTTCCATTATTTATTTTACATATATATTTATATATTATAAACTGTAAGTAGTTTATATAGCTCGGTATATTTCTAACATTGCCATTATATATTAGCAATACAAATAGTAGAGAGATTATTAATGATATAATTATGGGTGTATGTATTATGAATAATTGTTTTTTCAGTATGGGTTTTTATTGATAAAATTGTTTAAGGCATAATCATTGAAACTGCCTTGGTTTCCCTGACAGTTGACACGAGAAAATAGAGATGATGGCAGTCTTCATGAAAAGATTTTGACTGTACTGTCAACGTCACTTAAAAATTGATGGGCTGTGTGTTGCCTGGAGGCCCTATGGTCAGAAGTATAATTTGAATACACTGTATAGCAAGTTGAAAAAGCAAATCACTTAGATATTGGAAACATTATTGATGGGGTTCTAGTGCTTCGTGCTTTACTTACAATATGGTTTCAATAAAACAATTGACAATTCCTGGAAGTTCCAATATGGAAAAAGTGTTGATTATTTGACACCAACAGTGGAAGTAAGGGTGTTGTGTTAAACTGAGAGGGCTTAGTATTTTATTTGTGACATGAAACATTGTTTTATGCTAAGATTACATCTTATAAAGCTTCGACCATATTCTTGAAGATGTGTGGTAGGCCAAGTGTGCTAGTTTTGATCATTTGCAATTAATTTAAAATGTTTGTATTCAATAAAAATACAGTAGTACAATTTTGTTTTATAATCTCACCCTGCATCACTTTAAGTAATCTGGATACAGTAATATGCTGTACATAAAGACTATAAAGTTGCATATTGTGTATAAGGTCAGTAACATAAGTTAAAATGGGGGCAGCGGCCTGACCTCGATGCACATTAGGGCAGTGGTGTAATTTTAGCGCAGATTGGGGCAGTTACCTACCACCAAAGTACTGGGTAGGTGATAATAATAAGAATAATAATTAATAAAAATTAGGCAGGTGTACATATATGCAGGCACCGAGTCACAATAACGTGGCTAAAGTAAGTTGACCAGACTACACACTAGAAGGTGAAGGGACGACAACATTTTGGTCCGTTCTGGACCATTCTCAAGTAGATTGTGATGATTTATCATCACAATCGGGTGTACATATATAAAAGCGATTCTTAAACAGTGGACGATTCATAAGTAACAAAAAGTATAATGTCTACAGCTAATAATATCCTGAGCATTTCGGGCATAACATATAAATTAATAAAACAACATACTGTACTGTATACTGTAATCTTAATGAGGTAATTCTTAAAACTAAATGACACAACATAACATTTATGAGTTGATGGAGATAATTAGAATTAAAAAAGCCAACCAGCATTGGATGTAATGAAACGCCATTTTCTGGATGAGGTTCGAAGGCTCCTTGAGGCTATCCGAACTAATATGTGCTATATTAGTTTGAGGTCATCAGTCACAGGAGTTCTTATGCCTACTGGGAACCACGAGCCAGAACCTGGCCCCTCTCAGGGAGGCACAGGGAGCAATGACCTATGAGCACTTTACATTTAAAGTATGTCATAATTGCCATCGACCAGGAAAGGACCCAAAAAGGTAGGTGAATCAAAGCAGACCACTGTCTGGTTAACCTGTGCTATCTACATCCCAAAAGATCAAAATAACTTCCCTAGAAAGAAACCAAACAAACAACCCTTCCTGCAACTGGTACTTCTGCTCGCAAGTGCTACCCTCCCCAAGTAGGGGGTGGGACGTGGTAGCCCCGGGAACACAAGACTGGGGTAATAATATACAGAAGTACCATAGTCTTGTACACAAGACCAGACTGCCCAGGAACACAAGAGCGGGAGACATGACCCACAAGTCATCAGAGGAACGGACAGAGTAGGAAAGATGAATGAAGCACTACAATTGGTACACCCATAATGGGACACAGGTGGTAATAGAGTACCCAAAGGACCCACAGAGACATGGAAAAAGAACTTGTCCAGAGTCAGAGCAGTAAGGAAAGGGAATGCAGGAGGCAGTGATGAGGTGGAGGCTGGAAATGTAGAAGTGCAGGAGCTCAAGAAGCTCAGGAATGTGCTCACCAGTAGAATAACGTGTGAGAGGCGGGCCCAAAAAGTCAAATTTATTTTGTTATGCCTAAAATGTTAGCATTCGAGTGGCTTTACTAAAAATGCACTGTTGTATATTCTTGTATCATTAAGTATCAACTTTATATTGTTTATCATTGCTAAATTCCTTGAACATCTCGCGTGTATTTGCTTACTTAATTATACTGTACCCTTAAAATTTTTTTAACTGAATTATTCTAAGTTATGCTGCCCAAAATGCTATGCATATTAGTGGCTTTATTTGATATGCAAACTGTACAATTAGATTCGTTCTTAACTCTCAATCGAGAATTTGGTTTTAAATTCTGGGTGTGACAGAAATAATTGGCTATGTTTCCTTTCACCTAATGCCTTTGTTCTCCTAGCAGTAAATAGGTACTTAGGAGTTGGTTAACTGTTGTGGGGTTGCATCCTGGTGAGGGTCAATAGTTTGACCTTCGGAGGAATTTTGATTTAAGCTTAAAGTACAGTACAGTACAGTAATATATATTCAGACTGCCTGAACCTGACAAAACAAATTATTATACCTCTGTACTAGTATTATGTTCGTGTGTATGTACTCTATATTTTATGAATTAAATATAAAATTTAGGATAAAAAATTCACACATGGATTTTTGTTTGGATTGAAAAAATAATTAATTTTGTCTATGTATGGACTGACAAAATAAGTTATTATTATTTCTAAGCAGGTTATGTATCTATTTTATTGTAAAAATATTTTCAAGCTGTACAGTACAGTTGTCTAATTCAAAACACAGCCCCAAGAGTTAAATTTCAGCTGTAGCTGACTTCAAAGAATGAAGGTCACAAATTTGTTTGAAGGCCTCACAGATTCACGAATGTTTTTGCTGAAATTTGTACAGTATATTGAAGGATTGTTAACTGTCATGACCTCCATCTACAGCTAAGCCGCCACTGCGTATTCTTCCTCCTCCTGCTCCTATTGTTCCCACCCTTCACATCCTGCTCCTCCTGCATCTGTTGTAGAAGGAACAAAGGAGAGGGCACAGGAGGAGGGAGTGGGCATGGGTGGAAAGAGTCTTGTGATGTCTCCCTCCTCCTGGGAGGAGACATCACAAGAGGAGGGGCACAGGAGGGAGGAGGTAGAGATGGAGGAGGGCCACTGGAGGATGGAGGACATACACACAGAAGGAAGGAGCACAGGAGCAGCAATGTGGGAGCAGGAGGAGGGAGCGGTCATAGGGGGAGGGAGCGGGCATAGGGGAAGGAGGGAGCACTTGCAGAGGGAGGGGGCAGGAGGGAGAGAGGAAGTGGGCACAGGATGGTGGGAGGAATGGAGCACTGGAGTAGGGAGGAGGCACAAGAGGAGGGGATGGGGGACATGTATACACACATGTCTACAAACTGGTTTGAAGTTAGAACTGTTTTTGCAAGCCATGTGTCAGAACTACTAATTTATGTAAACACAACTTTATTATGAACGAGTATTTTTCGCATAATCTGTACGTCAACAATTCGGTTGTACCTTTGACAATTAAAGTTAAACATATACAGTACACATATTTGCTCGGTTGTGTATGTCTATAATTGTATTTATATTGGTTAATGCCTCTAATTATACCCAGCATTTTGCCAATTGTGCATATTTCCAGGCATATATGTATACTGTATAATAGGAAGATGTCTGTTTTTATTTGGTTATCAAAGGTTGGAGGCCAGATGCTTGGGGGTTATCTTCACTCATTTTTGCATGGTGACTGCTATGGGGTTGATGCCCAACATGGGTGGGTTGGGGGCAGCCTGTTGCTCATAGTAACATATGACCTGTTTCAATAGCAGACCCCATGAACTTTGTGGTGATCAGGCACAGGCTACTGGCCTCACTTCCCCTCCACTAAAGAGGTTAAGACAGTCTTTCTTTATACTATGTGTCGTAAAACCTTATGCACTGATTTTGCCAATCGTTTTTTGTTAAATTCTGTAAGATATTTTCTTCCTTATAAGGCACATAAATTTGGTCGACATCAGAGGCCCCAGCCACGTGAGTCCACCTGGCTACTTCCATACACCCCTCCCTTCATACATGCTGGCTACTTCCATACACCCCTCCCTTGGCATGATATCAACTCCCTAGATCTTTTCCTCTGTCCATTTCGTGAAGACTTCTTCTCACATATGGTATTCTGTGCCTGGCCTCCTGTTCCCTCCACCTAGTTTCATTACCTTACATTTACTTGGGTTGAACTTTAGTAGCCATTTGTTGGACCATTCCTTCAGTTTGTCTAGGTAATCTTGTAGCCTCATGCTATCTTCCATGGTCTTAATCCTCATAATTTTTGCATCTTTAGCAAACATTGAAGGAAATGAGTGTATACCCTCTGGAAGATCATTTACATATACTGTATCAGAAACAAGATAGGTCCGAGGACAAACCTGTAGGACTGCCCTGGTGACGCCTCACCACTCAAGACCTCTCCCCTCACAGTGACTCGCTGTCATCTGTAGCTTAGGTATTCCCTTATCCAATGGAGTACCTTGCCTTTTACTCCTGGCTGGATCTCTAGCTTATGCACTAGACTCCTATGGGGTACTGTCAAAGTATCTTGAGTTTCCAGCTTCTACCCATGTCCCCTTATTGTTAGTATTCAGCGTGAACATTGTGTATTTCCACTCTGTCAATCCTACAAAGTATTTTATGTGTGTGTGTGTTTGTGTTCTGAAGAATATATGTACCAAGAGGTACGTACATGTTCTTGGTGTATATACACCGAAAGTTTACTTTAATCCTGAACTGTTTGGTCAGTAAGTTATTGCATGACCTTAACACTCCCTCTAGGTGTTGATAGGCCTTGAGCCCAACACCAAACCAGCCATTTTTGTTTGTTTCTCTTTGGGGCGAAGGAGCAGCAAGGTGCTCAAGCTAGCGGACAGACGGGTGGGGGACCTTGATTTCTGACGGAGGGGGAAAAAAGTACCATCCATCCAGGGACCCTGACATTTGTGCAGTGACCCCCACAGTGGCTGCATGTCCTCCATCCAGCCAGGGTGTCTGTGGCGGGAAAACACACTCCTGGGGAGGGAAAAAACAAGTATATATATTGCGCCCTGTAAAAGATAAATAGATATGCTGTATATATATATAATATAAATATATAAATATACAGTCAGTTATGTAACTAGCTTATCAAGACTGTAACTAGTCATAACTAAATGTATTTTGGGGTTTAATGCCTTTTGCCTATTATGTACCTCTGTAACTTTTTCCACTATCCCTCACAGGACAGGTCTGGGGGTCCACTACCCCTCATAGGTTTGGTATGGGGTCCACTACCCCTCATAGGATGGGTATGGGGTCCACTACCCCTCATGGGATGGGTATGGGGTCCACTACTCATAGGATGGGTATGGGGGTCTACTACCCTTCACAAGATGGGTATGGGGTCCACTATCCCTCACAGGATTGGTATGGGAACCACTAACCTTCACTGGATGGGTATGGGGTCCACTACCCCTCATGGGATGGGTATGGGGTCCACTACTCACAGGATGGATATGGGATCCACTACCCCTGCTCAGGATAGGTATGGGGTCCCTACACTTGAACAAGATGGGTATGAGGTCCACTATCCTTGTGCAGGATAGGTATAGGGTCCA